ATTTCAGTGTGTAAATTAAAGCTGGTTACACTTACTCACACATATTCACGTATTCTCAAACATATAATGGGATTAATGGCATTTTGTGAAATTGAATTACTTAGAACATTTCATTACAATCCTGTTAAACCAAATGTGGTTCCAATGTTGTACTAATATGGTTCAGAGCAACGAGTATTGTTGATGTGCTTAGACGTCTCGTTGTCTAACTAGTTCATGATTTTGTTTTGAAATAGTGCACATTTTGTTGGTTTATAGGATGACCAAAACAACAGAAGATGAATACAATAAATACCTCAGTCTGAATTCTGTTTTACTGGTCACGTGAGAATTGAATCAACATCAATGTATGCAATCCCTCCTTTTAAGTTTCTTCGGATACATGGTAGGCACACGGGTAATTACGGCTGTTTAAAAACAACACTTAGGTCATCACTGACCATTACGGCGTTATTTTCGTTTTGATGTAGTGGGAAAATTATTTACGACCGGTTTATCACTACCTGTGTAGCCACACTTCAACCACCAGATGACTATTTACGTCGACTCTCATACTTTCTTCAATTATCAACAGAACCAGTTCAGTTGTATAAAAATTTGAAACGCACCTGTTTAGTGTGAGGAGTTCTTTATTTTGAACAAGTTAATTCTTAAAATTGTATTATTGGGAATACATGTTGGTTTTATTAAGTGATAATGTATGATTTATTTCATAAGACGTTTGGTTGTTAGTTTATGAATTTGAATAAATAATCATGAAGAAGTATTCAAGTAAGTAGGATAACATGAATTCATCTTATTTCTCTGAGTTCTCATTAGCTACTTAGAAATTTTATTGTCGAAATTTCACATAGAAGTCAACTTACATACACAAATAAAGTAAATTTGAATCATTATGGTGACTGAAGACCGAAGTGAAATATATATGGGATAAAGAAATTGCAAACATGCTTGTTGTATACGAGAAGGTTGTAGAACATGAAATATAACAACAACAACAACAACAACAACAACAACAACAACAAGGATCATATTGTGTTGTATGTTATATATGTCAACAGAAGTAAATAGTATGTAATACTGTAATGAACAGAACACGACTGGGGGACAATCGAATGTATTTAAGCAAAAGTTACAGACTATCTCAGTAAATTCTGATAACCAAACAATGAACAGTCAATTTGCAAATTAATAACCAATTGTTTCAATCTTGACTGTTTCTTCTCTTATTCCATTGCTCATGCATTTTCCAGACGTTTGCGTTTCATTTCAGTTCTTTCCTCATCGGTCTTCTGCCAAAATACATTCTACGTCTGACCCACACCATATACTACTTATATGGACATAAGTAGACCACACCACAATACTAATGGAAAGTTGGGTGTCTGGCAGTAGAAGATTAAAAAGATTAAATTGAAGAAATTACAGACGTATATAGAAAGAAATTATGAATTGAAAATATGTAAAGGATAGTTGATGGAAGATTTGAAAATGAAGCATTCAATCCATGGTTCTGGTATTTTATGAAGATATTCTGTTATTTTATGGTGGTCTCCACCTAAATTCTTGATCACTTCAATAGAACTAATGATGAATAAATAATGAAATTAATGAAAATGATCTAATGGTAAATAAGAATGAAAACACAAGAATGTGATTCAGATGAGAGATCCATTAACATTTCAATGATGTTGTTCTTACAACATTACAATAAGATATAAATTTGTACTTTACAATAACTATCAATATTATATAGCGACCAAAATTAAAATAAGCCTCCAACAACACACATAGGAGTTGGATTTAAAATGAACTAAGAGTGTTATAAAATGTAAACAGAGATATGTAAAATAGGATTACGTAATGTATTCAGAAGAGTTTTGAGAATGAACTGTATTAAGGTAATGTATAGAAACAAGTGTAAATAAGTTTGTATAAGGTGAGACAATAACTTTGATAGATGATCCCATTGTAGCATACTTAAGAACAATCGAACAGTCATGATTTATTTACAATTCTCTACTTTATATTGTTTTCTTTGTAAAGTTATGCTCTTTCATCCAAATCTCACTAATACTTGATGTAGGTATCTTGAGGTTTGACAGATAACATACAAACTAATCCTACCTATTCATGTAATAGAATTAAACTTAACTTAAAAAGGTGAATATTCTAGCTGAAATTCAGATGGTATTTTCGTCTTAGATTCAATGAAAAAAGGACACAATCAAGAAAGTAAAGTTCATATAAGATGATATTACTTGATTGCTTCTTATTAAGTGAAGTCAATTTAGGGTTGTCAGATTATTTACATCCATAATCCAACATTTTGATTTATTTCAGTAATATGTTTATGATTGAACGTTTTTTTATTTTCGATATTACTTTGTTAGAATAATGTGACTGATATATCCTGACTGTAGTCATTTAGTAGCATTGTCGGTTATTTATTTATATACGATTTCCACGAAACTGCTTAAACAGATTCCAATTAAGTACAATCTTTATATTATTACTTAATTCATGCCTATAATTTAAGTATGTTACAGAAGAAATACCTGACTATTACTGTTGCCTTGACGTGGTGGTCGGCCTGGCCTATCGTGATGAACCAATCGAGCTATACTGTCTGGACCAATCATTCCTCAAGGTCCCACCATGCCAGACTGGTCGGCTGAAGAGCGGTAAGACTAAAAGCAGCAATCCCAAGGTCCGAACGCGAAGTCGTACTGCCAACTGTACAGAGGTGTGACAGCAGTAAGGTGTTTCCCTCAGAACACCAGCATAACGGCGATCCTGCTTTCCCACAAGGATGGGAGGGGTTAGAAAATGTCAACCCTATTAATGCACACCTAGCCTTACCCCATGGATATCCGTCCCCGGCAGTAAGGTCGCAACAATGACGGAGCTAACACGAAAGTTACCCACAAAACGGTAGTGTGTGACCGACCTCAAGCAGCTGTCCTTTGGGCACGCCCTCAGGTCACTTAAACCACTTTCAACCCAGTTTCTCTTTCAGGTATTTCCAGAGGTCCCCTTCCGACCGGGGAGTGATAACTGCCCTCATACCTCCAGATAGCGCTCGAGATCACTCTTCTCACAATCAATCTACCTCTTCCATTCCTATTTTTCCTCCTACATTGATTTTCAATCCTAAACTCCTTCTTTTGACTCCCTCCTCAAATGCCACCATGACCGAGGATTCTAGTGCGCCAAACATTGTCCCGGGTCTACTGAAACCTCGATACAAACTACACATTGGAGCCTTCAACGTCCTCACATTATGTCGAATAGGCCAACAGGCCTCCTCAGTTAAAACTCTAGAGTCTCGTACCTTTGATGTATGCTGCGTCGACAACTTCACTTATTTAGGAAGTCTGATCAGCCCTAATGAGTTGGTGTCTGACGAACTCTCAGCACGGATTCAAAAAGTTCGTTTGGCTTTTGCCAACTTACGTCATCTATGGAGAAAACGAGATATCCGCCTATCAATTAAGCGACGAGCATACTGCACAGCAGTTCGCTCTGTTCTACTTTATGGCTGTGAAACGTGGCCATTAAGAGTAGAAGATACTCGCAAGATACTAGTACTTCATGATAGATGTCTTAGAAATATTGCTCGCATCTGCTGGTATCACCGGGTAAGTAATAGTGAGGTTAGACACAGGGTATTAGGGAATGATGGTAAATCAGTGGATGAAATTGTGATTCTTCATCGTCTGAGATGGTTGGGCCACGTTTTACGAATGCCTAAACAGCGACTACTACGACGACTAATGTTGAGGATGGTTGGAAAAGAGTTAGAGGCGGCCAAACCAAAACGTGGCATCAGTGCTTGAAGTCACTAATGTCTGATCTGAGTGATGTTGGTAGATGTAGACTACTTGGTTGGGGTCTGAGTGACTGTCATAACCAATGGTTGGAGTCTCTGGGTGACATGGTTCAGAATAAATCACAATGGTTTTAAAGTCGTGTTGCATAAGGTAGAGGCACTTCTCCATATGGCTTCATAATAGTCAATCTCTGGAGCCATGATAAGGTCGCAAAGACTCTCTCAACCTCGACCACATAGCTTCAATATTGTTTTTGTGTACTCCTGTGGTGTAAGCTTGTCATTTTTATTACGCATATATCCCGAAAATACTCCTACCATTGAACAGCCGAAGCTTCAGTAACATCAGCATTTACTGCAGCCAATGTTACTGGTGCTTTTATGATACAGTTCGCGGTAATTATTATAATTTGCCATTCATTCCATCTGGATCGAGCGAAAAAGTTCCTATTCTAACAGACGTCTTCCTTCAACATATATTACATCGAAGGACAACATCACGGAAGTCCGCACAAGGTCTACAAGTCATTTGATTCCCTTAATTAAAAATAAAGGAACTTCTTAGTAGTCTCATTGATTGTACCGCTTAATTGTCACATCTCTAAAATCCACTATAAACCGATTGCATATGAACATAAGGTATTGGAATTGACGTCGTGACCTTGAAATTCTTCAGACGCTTCTGATTGGCTTGTCCATAAATTATAGTCTCGCCAATAAATCTATTATAGATGAATAAAGTTTGATTCTTTTCTTTCACAAATCATAATGTTATTTCAACATATTTTACTGCTTACTTTATTTATTTAAACATATAAATATTGGTACAAGGAAGCACCAGATACATATGCGCCACACAAATCTTATTTGATTTGTGTGAGGGCTGTGATACTACCAAGGTGACCAAACTGAAACAAGTGTTTTTCTTAGGGGGTCACACTCGAAGCCTTTGACCTAAAGATCTAATCCACAAGGCAGTGGAACATTGTAAGGAGATGCAGTCACATGGTAGGTGGTGACCAACAATTGGTTCATACGCCATTTGTTCCTTCAGGATGCTGGAGCCCATGTGCACAACCTCAATGGAGCATAGGCCACCAACAATTAATCTTTTTAATCTAATCCAATTTATTGTCTCTTTTTATTTTTCTACTAACAAAAAAAATGATTGAACTCAATCAAACTGTATTGTAACAAATGACCAAAAACGTTTTTTTACATTAGGCAAATTGCAACAAATAAGAAGCATATTACGAGTAATGATGATAATAATAATAATAATATCACAAACAAACTGACATATACAACGAGTAATGAGTATGTATGTTTCATTGCTGCATATGTATGTATCTGTGTGTGTGTGGGTGTGATGTTGTCATGGAGACTGGAGTATAAAGTTTTCTTTTGCAAAACATACAAAGCATATGAAAATCTTTTGTTTTTTTTATATTCAAAAATCTTACCATTACCAATTTTTATTAAGGAATGTGAAAAAAAAATGAAGTAAACAAACAAACAAACAAGAATATCTAATGTATATCATCAGACGTGAATACAAGACATCATCTGTAATCATTAAAAAAAAAAAGTATTAACGAGTTGCCAGAAGGGAAGAACAAAACAACAACAACAACAAACGGAATCGATCACAACAACAATGATAGATATGTCTCAGTCAGTCAGTTACAACGTAGAACTTTGTACGTTCGTACGTACATACAGATAGATATATCTATATTATTGTTAATAATGAAATAAAAGGAGAAAGACTAAACTGTTAAAAAATAAATATCACAGTATAAATAGATAAGTAATATAATCAAAAGATAACATTTGACATAATGTTATGGACTATTAGTCAACCAATAAGAAATTCATGACTTGAATTACAATTATGGAATGTAAAGCAAAAACCAAAGCTATGAGGAAAGACATTTGATATAGTGTTGTAGACCACTGATAGTTAATAAGAAACACGTAAGTTGAGTTACAGTTATTAAAAATGTAAAGCAAACCAAATCCATAAGGAAAGATATTCGACATATTAGAAATGTGTATTATATTATTTTGAAACAAGAGAGAGAGCACCAGAGGACTGTGATACTATCAAGGTGTTCAAACTGAAGAAATGAAACATTTATATTATAGATCTATGAATAAAAGACATACAATGGAATGAAGAGAAAAAAAAAATTTTGATAAATAATAGATGGAGTTATAACAGCGTTTTGTTTTCTTCTTCATTCTCTTTATTCAATATCGTTTGAAATAGTCTAAATAGATAACATGTGATAATGATGTTAAATGATAAACAATTGAAATAATGATAATAGGCACTGAAATACATACACAATATATGGAATGTATGATAAACTATATATCATAGAAAACAATAGATACATTTTTCCTGTGTAAGCATTAGGAAGAGGAGTAAAACATACAACAATTTCGCCATCATCATCATCATCATCATCATCATCATCACAACATCTACACAAAGAATGAAAGGGTATAAATCCAAGATTATATAATCCAGGACAAACAACCCATTACAAATACAATCAATTGAATTTCAAACACAAAATACAATCACATGTACATATAGAGTTGCCTTGGCAACAGAAAAAAAAGAAGAATATTTGATTTGGTTGCTTGTTTTTTTTTCTTTTCTGTAGATTATCCCAGAGTAAATTAATTACTTATTGATGATGAGGATGAAAATGATGACATTGAGAAAAGTGATACAAAATTTTGAAATAAATGACTTGTCTAAAATGAGAATGAACAAAAAAAAGGTAAACATAAACATTAGTAATGATAGGTAAACAAATGAAACGAAGGTTGTATGTTGCATAGTTGACGATCATTCATAGAACTCTGAAGGTTTATACTACTTATATGATATGGCTTTAAAACTTGTCTATTGAAGACTAAAATCATATTTTATAGTTGAAATCATGAGTCAATTGAAGTTAGACCATCATGGCAAACCTGGAAACACTGGACTGCCATTTCGTCCTATTGCAGGACACATCAGTAGTGCGCATCCACGATTCCGCCTCATGAGATTCTGATCCAGGATCTATCAGTCTCGCACGCGAGCGCTTAACATCTAGACCACTGAGCTGGCATCCGACTGCTGACGAGTCATATACAACGACGAAACGACCGTGCATTACTTCCAGGTTTACCATGGTGATCTAACTTCAATTGACTCATGAATTTAACTATAAAATAACTGAAATCTCAAAAAAACCCCAGATAAAATCATATTATTAGTATTTATTTAGGTATATCTTCCAATCAAATGAAGATGGTAGATATGGTATTTGATGAGGATTGTAAATTTTGTTAATGACACTATGAACTGAGCTGATATGCAGCACATGAGTCACGTATGCTCTCAATAATTACTTTTATTATACTAAACTAGTTAGCGGATATACATTGAGGAAATCACCTAACTGCGCCACAAGGCAAGCGCTCACATAGAATCCTGAAGGTCAAAGGAGAAGAGGGAAACCCAAGAAATAGAGACAGACGTAAGAGAAATGGACAAAATTTGCATAGAACTATAAAAGAAGGCCCAGGACAGAGTGGGTTGGAGAATACTGGTCGGCGGCCTATGCTCCATTGGGGATAACATGCGTAAGTAAGTAAGTAAACTATTTAGCAACCTAGATCAATATAGCTTTCTGTGGAGGCATTCAACTCTAAAATATACACAGAGAGTACGGAATAGTTCGATGACCGCGTAAAATATGCAAGTATGCAATTTTCGTTTTGAAAAACTCATTCACCTACAAATAAATTCGACTCAAAAAATAATACAAGGAAAAAAAGGAGACAATGTAGAGCAATTTAATATAAAAATGACAATGACGACGACAACGGTGACAACAACAACAAACACATTAACAGACAACACATTGGTTAGACAGCAAACTGACCAATCATCATCATCACTATCACTTTTTCATATTCGTCAATAACTAATTAGATTGAAGAGCCAATTCAATGATACTTCTCCATAAGCTTAACATTATTAAAGCCTATAGATTTCAATAGATAATAATAGAATATTAAAAGGAATACAATGATCTTTCGAATGTTGGAAAAAAGACTAGGAATTAACACATTTCGATAAGAATCTTAATAACATTCTTGATTATTCAAACTGAATGATGTCCGTTAGAACTCCATGCGGTATAAACATTCGCTAAATAATCCGAATAGGAAGTCTAGATGTATTAATTAGAACAAAAACTTGAGCGTAAGTGTTATATCTGAATTGTTTCAAATTCACTAATTACCGAACGAAACAAAGACTTGTGACCAGAAACCGATAAGTTAGCTATTCTGACGTGTCCCAGACCCAGCTAACTAAAGTAAGAAGTCCAAGTTGGAAGCGGGGAAAATATAAACCGTGGCAGCCAGAAACACAGCAATTGTAAGGGGAAAAAAATCAAACACATATATATATATATACAGCATAAAATTGTCCTTGGGTAGCATTACAAAATAGTACAATAAAAGATAAAACGGACCAATAGCGTTTAAGATATTTTACAAGTGAGAAATACGAATCGAAGGTGAAAAGAACACTTTTGGCGCAAAAACAAGGACATTCAAATTTTCAAAATAAAATTACAAAATTAGGCCATTTACCAAGTAAGTTCTAGGGATTTAACATCCTCAACAGTACGGTGTTATATATTTTACCATTTATATTTACAAGTGTAAATGATTTTTCTTTTCTCTTTCAATTTTGTATTCAAAATGTTTCAACTATGTACCTTATCTGAAACGTTGATATACCAATTGGAACGTTTCATAAATTACGAATTTTCAAACATTTGACAGCTATAAACTACTAATTTATACATTAATTCACAGTTCATTTCAACCACTTCAACTGACTAATCATAACGATGACAAATGTCAGTCAATCAGTCACAACGTAGAACTTCGTACGTACGTACGTACATCAGTTCGAGTTGCTATACTACATTACCACAGAGATGCAGTTGTCGAGTCGAATCCCATAGTGGTAGAAGTAGTAAGAGTATAAGCATTATGTGAAAGATAAGGGTTTGAAGATGTTATTGAAGGAGTATAATACAGTGAAATAAATTTGGAATGAGAAAAAGGATGGGGACATGAAGAATTCAGAAGATTAGAATTTGAGAAAACATAAAGAGTGGATACACCTTCGCCATTGCAAACGATTTTGAGTCATGTCATTCAAAGTCTCTAACCATCGATTGCTATCATCTCGCGAATCCCAACCAGGTAGTCTACACCTGTTAGCATTGCTCAGTCCGATTGTCAGTGACTTCGTGGATTTGTGCCATGTTTTGGTCTGGTCGCCCCTATCTTTCTTCCAACCTACTCTTACGCCATAAAACATTGCACGTCGGGGCAGTCGGTGGTTGGGCATACGTAACACGTGTGTGACAAAAGGTGAGTGCTAGGTATGTTTACTTTATTTATATATGATTTACCCTACAAGAAATCTATTTCATGAAATTCATGTTTGAAAATAGAAATGAAGTGAATATAATGAAGACACAATGGAAATATTTAATTATATCAAAATATAAACATACCATATCCGTCTGAAATCGATATGTGATCATTGCTTTCTTTTCTTGATCTGATATTTGTTTGAAGTGAGAAATGAAAATGATAAAAAAAGACGTTTAAAATGAGAATAAAATAAGACTTCTACAGAACTAGTTCTTATATATTTATCTGTATAACATAAACATTGGTTCAGAGGGGGCATCAAGTGAGACCAGTAGCAGTCATCGTTGATTTGTGTGAGAGCTGGGATATTACCTGGGTGCCAAAAACGAAGCAGATGGTATTATTAGGAGGTCACAACGAGAGCCTTCGATCTGAAGGTCTAATCCACAAGGCCACTATGGGCACCGAGACTTGCGGATCAGTATTGTGTGTGTAACGGAGGAAAAGAGACAGTAACTTTTATGTTATGTCAAGGGAAAACTCAGAAATCGAGATAATATCTTCCCAACTGACACTGAAATTACGAACTATTAACGAGTACTACAACATGGGATGATGAAAGACAATTTACTTCCAAGGCTCGTTTAGCTGAAGGAAACAAATAAGTGATATTTAAGGCTGGTAAGTTTTGGTAGTATAGTGAATAAAACACTGGTTTGGGAAAATCAAATGTATTTAAGCACAAATTACAGACAATGTCACTAAATTCTGATAACCATACAACAAACAGCTGATTTGCAAAATAACAACCCATTGTCTCAATCTTTATTGTTCCTTCTGTAAATATCAGTTCATCTTCTCTAATTCAACTGTTCATGCATTTTCCTACTAATTGCGCTTCATTTCAGTCCTTTCCTTATCGATCTTCTGCCAAAATACATTCTATGTCTGTCCATCGTCATATACTAATTATAAGGATATAAGTAGATCACACTACAGTAGTAGTTACTTAACAACCTTCAACCAGTGGTTCCAAAAAATTAAACGAATTTTAACGAACATCTACTTATAGATCTATCAAGAAAGATTGATTTCAGGTATCAGTACTAAAGTTTAACTTCATCAATTCGATTAAAATAACGATATATATTTGAGTGAATATTATGAACTACTTACCATAGACATCAATCGTAAATATTTCTGATTTTATTGTGCAACAACGTTTAATATTATGCAATTTAATGAATTTCTGAAATAGAAAAAGAGAATGAAGGATATCATACATTACATTACATTAGATGGAAAACAAATCAAAGGTCTGGTTAAAAAAGTGACCAGGAAATGAATTAATCAACAAATGAAGAACATCGTACGCTAAATCATTGTGATTCTGTGATGCGGAATTACGATTCTTAATCACAAATACCACAAAATCACTGTGAGTCTAAAATCTGTATTCCAAGCAATGATCTCTTTTGTCCGCCTAGTTGTTTGCTTTGTACTTCAGGTGTTAATTTGCACTATGTTTTCCAATATCATCCTAATAGTACGAAGCAATAGATAGAAGTAGTACAACTGTGTCCTTTGATGAGATACAAAACGTCTGCTATCTTTCACAACTGTAGACAAATAATTAGGACATGTCCATTCATCAAAGTAACATATCAACAATAACTTTGAACTGAAGAGAGCGAAAAGCCATACATACGACCATTTGATTGACAGATTATGAGCGCTATTGAGAATGAAAGTGTAACATTATTCGCAATTATGACGATGATAAATGGTTGGAGGTGATTAACAAAGAACACCTTCAATCTTAAAGGAACTAAAATACTTCTCTCAGTTTTTGAAGTCGAAAAATTTGTATGATGAACGACTATCTTCGGTACGGTATGACATCTCAATAATCGAGTGAAACTAATGGTGCAGAGGCTGGTATTATGTCAAGCCTACATAGTGTATTCTAGCCTCTGGACAGATAAATATATTCACTCATCTTAAACCACATTTTGATCTAGTCAGTTATTCACTTATCAAGCTTGACTGTTTTTTTTAAATGTGAGTTTTTGTGTATGCATCTCTTATCTTACTCATCACATGTTTGTAACTTATTTTCGTCTGACTATATATACCTATTAACGCTTGATTAAATCGAGTTAGCTCACTTGCCTTCACCATTGTGCGTCGTTTTGCTTTGCTCCACTTTCCGAACACCAAGTGTGTGAAATATACGTATACAAACTTCATTCCGTTATTCACTAACGCAATTTAAATTGATGATTATATACGACGACTGGTGATATGTATATTTCAACAGCAATCACTTGATAACGATCATTTATCCGACTTAACTAGAGTCGGATATACGGAAATTAAAATAGTAATATTCAAATTGGATTTAAGCATAATCAGGTAAAAAGACAAAGTTTCAGCGTACGACGCATGCCTTATTGGAAAAAATGAATGTTGGACACCAATCAGATTTCTTAAACGTTGGATAGTAAGATATATATATATATATATATATATATATATATATATATATGAGCACGTTCGGACAAATATACACGAGTGTAATCAACTTTAGGATAATAAAATCTAACCTGCTCATCACCGAATTTGATAACAAATCCATCTGGTAAGATGCTAATAGTACCAGGTTGATTGTTGTCCAAATTTGTTGCATTGATCTCACCGTTCAAATCACCATCTACATGAGATTGAAAGGACACTTTACAAAATTATGACAATATGGTGTACAACAATTAATTACACTTACAACACCCCTGGAATGTCAAGATACATCTGAAAGTGAGGAGATCCCGCACCACTTCTCTAAATGAACTCATATAGCTGGGCGTATATGGTTACTGCTAAGGAAGTCTAACTCATTGTCTTTTTGAGTTCAAGGTGTTCTTTACAAAACTAAGAGAGTGGAAAGCGAATTTCAGGCACTTAGAATAGGTTGGTGAGCATGGAGGATCCACCTAGGGGAGTTGGAAAACAAATGGTTCCAGCATGCTGAAGGAATAAATGAGGAATGAACCTATTCTTGGACATCGGCTTCCATGGAACCGCATTTTTTATCGTGACTCTATTGCCTTGTAGATCAGACCACCCGTCCAAACGTATAAGGAGTGGGCCGTTAAGAATATCATCTACTTCAGTTCAGGCACCCATCTACAATTGCATTTACCATTTTACATGTACATGCCAAAGAAATTACATTGAAAGCAAAGAAAGAAAGAACCTTTTTTGCATCTCGGAGCAAGTTTCACAGCAAATGAAGTTAGAAGACCAACATGTTCTACACAATGTAAATACTTTGAAATCATTCAAAATAACAAATAAATCAACAACTTTTAGTCTAATTAATGTATCGGAAACATTGTTCGTAATACCTCGAAATTTCCGGTCGATTATGTTGATGAGGTAAGAAAACAAACAAACAAACACGCAAAGAATGTAAAACTGTCTTATATAATTTAAGGAAATTGGATGCAAACAATAATTGAAAGAGATAATTGAAATTATTTATTTGACTACTTATATCTGATTTCAATAGTACAGATATAACGAACAAATATGACGTAATAGGAAAAACCCAGAAACGTACAGACAGTTGTCGAATTGAAAACTTCTGAAATCGAGAGACAATCTAGTTTTTGAGTCAATAACATTTATGGCCTGGAACTTAATATAAAGTCAAATCGGTGATTTGACAGTTTCTCAGTATTCGATGGTGGTCAAATTGGAAACATCAGACGTCGGAATAAAGAAGATCGCGAATCTGGATTCGTTATTGATTCATGTGATGGAAATTTGTAGTTTCGAAATGTTAAACCGTTTTATTTTTCTGAGAGTAGTGATGATGCTATTGACAATGATAATAATAAATAATATTTAACTGATTCATACCATAAATATGTCACTTAATACTTCGAGCGAAAAAAATAGAAAACAGAACTAACTTAGTATTCCATGTGAAGCTTCTACAGAGATATTTTTCATTGATTCCTTGATTTGTTGATAAACTAAACGAGACTGGTGAAAAAGAAAAGAATGCAAAAAATATGAGGATGTAAGTCAAATTTCAACAACGGCTTAAAATCTATTGTAAAAAAGTGTGAATCTTTGTAAACAAGTACACCAAAGAAATACTAAAACTTTAATAAGTAAACTGTCTAATTAACCTGAAGACTTCTAATGATATCTCAGAAAATGTGACTCGATGGCCTAGTGGTACGGTACTCGCTCTGGGTGCGAGAAGTCCCAGGCTAGAATCCCAGTAGGGTCAGTGCTGTTATACCCTCAAATGCCATGGTACGGTCGGACGTGGTGAGAGTCCATTCTCCCTCTCAAAATGCTTTCACATGACCACGCGTATACAACCACCGACAGGCAAGTCCTATTCACTGCCTTCTCGCGCTACGGATGTTGCTTATGAAATTGAGAGGACGTTTTAACCGGTTGGGTGGTTATGCAGGAAACACATAAGAGAGTTGCAAAATCCCAATTCTTAACCAATGGTGCACATGAACTACACGATCCTAAGGAAACAAACGGAGTATGAACGTATTGTTGGACACCGGCTACCATGGGACTGCATTTCCTTACGATGCTCCACTGCCTTTTGGATCAGACCTGTAGGTCAAAGGCTCGGAGTGTGGCCCGATAATAAAACCACCTGCTTCGGTTTGGGTACTCAATCAATATGCCAGAGGTTACACAAATTGAATAATTTATGTGGCGCATATATATTTGGTTCCCCCTTGTACCAATGTTCATGTGTTTAAATAACTAAATAAATACAGAGACTTTCAATTTCTGATGCAAAACACATCAAGAGATATGAGACCATAGTTCAAATCGATGCTAGTCGTGTTGATATCATAGAATGCTGTCAATTTGCAATAGTTTCATGTACTTTATTACTTCAAATTGAAGTTTCGCCTCAATATAGTCTCATTTTTCGGAACATACTACCTATGAAACCAAATCTACACAGAAATTACAATCAAAATAGAAACGATGCTGAAGTAGGCGAATCAAACTTGTATAAACATCAAAATTTCTTTGATATAACATAAGACGCATTATCATAAAATAATGAGTAGTATGAATAGATAGTAGAAAAAGTAACTTCTAGGACTTTGCACACATTTCCTCAGAGTTTACTTAGAAGATATTCAATGACATAATAGGTTAGTTTAATTAGTAGGTATGTCTTTACAAATGATCAGAATTCCTAACAAGTTAACCAGTATGTCAAATTATAATCACTGGAATTAAACAATGGTTACAATTTCACAGAATACAAAGAAGTAGATGAATCATACTCCCAAACTGAAATCTTTTCTGTTTCATCAATACAGAAATTAATTCACGACTACTTCTTGTTATTTAAAACAAATAAACAATTAAACAATTTGTAACATTATGACAACGAATGATCAAACTAACACTATGACACGTACGGAACACACTTGTGACTGGCTCTATGAGGTATTTCCTGGAGTTTTAATGAGAAGCAGTAACCAGTGGAGTTCAACCAGGTCTGTTGGGAGATATCAACTCACTGAAAACATTGGTGAATGGTTGTTCAATTTTGTGGATTGGTTGAAGTTACACATTAATACCGTTGGATGTCGGCTCAATGGTCTAGTTGTTAAGCGCTCGCGCGCAAGACTGATAAGTCCTGAGTTCGAATCTCGTGAGGCGGAATCGTGGATGCGAACTGCTGAGGAGTCCCACAATAGGATGAAACGGCCGTCCTGTGCTTCAAGTTTTTCCATAGCGGTCTAGCTTTAATGGACTCATGATTTCAACTATATGAAATTACTAAAATCTTCATCAAACCCCCTTCTACATAAAAGAACATTTTATTCAAGTCATTGAACATTTTTTTAAAAAAAGAATTCAATTCAATAGACTTACTTTACGTGTATAAAATAAATCCATTTGTGAATGATCATATATTTGTCTTGTAATACATAATATATGTGTATTTGATCTATATGTTAAATTGATCACTTGATCATACCATAAACGTTCTAATATACGTCCAGATAAATTACGAATTAATAAATAATCAGAACAAACCTAATGATAATTAGATGAAAGACAAAACCAGTATGAATAATTTAGAATAAGAGTTCATCTAAGAAGTACACTCTCGAATGTATTTTAGCATGGAATTATGATAGCGGATTGTGAGCATTAAAACTAGATAGTAATATACATCATTAACATCATTATCCCATAGTGGTAGTAGTAGTAGTAAGAGTCATCTAACTGGGTCCAACGGTGGGACGAATTTGGGGATCGCTATGTCAAAAGATGTTCATCCTTATTCTTAAAGTTAATATTTGCAAGAAATAGGCGGTTATCTGAGCATAGCTGCAACAGACAGTAGCCATTATCTGTTCTTTTAGCCACGACACCATAAGATCCACCTAGGTGTCTTTCCCTTTCAATTAATTTACCTACTTGAGCGTTACAGTCACCTGCCACTATTACTACATCAGAACGCCTAGCTTTTCTGAGTGGGTCGGAAAATTTCCTGTAAAACTCATCTTTTATATCGTCTGAGCTGCAGTCAGTGAGAGAGTAGGCTTTATTTATTTAAAGTCATAAGTGGTTAAAAAAAAAACAGTTTCAGTTTAAGCAAAGATGGATAGTGGCTAACAGTGGTATCCAGCTGGACGCGCGTTCCGTTCTATTTGGGACTCGTCAGCTGGATGTACCTGCATCTCAGAGTTGATGTTCACTCTAGGATTCGAAGAATTGCAGTTCTAAACATCAATGGGAAGATTCAAACAAACAATACTAAGTTAATTTGTTTCAGTTTCGTTATAGGATTTCTTGACAACCTGAATATACGAGATTCCAGGAAAGTTTGAGGATAAAAATATCAACGCATCTAATGTGTACTATACATTTTCATAGAACTCAGTCAATAATCTTAAGGTCTGACATTTCAAATTTCAAGTTGTTTCCTAGATAGAAGAATTTTCATTTGATGATTATCTATTATAAATTAAGTCACTTCTGTTAGTTCTAGTTAAGCAGCATTGGTTGAATGGTTACGATTAAAATGAAGAAACATAACAACTCAGAATTATATTGTACGACTCATAATATACAACTGACATGAATATATCCAGATAACAACTGTTATGTCTGGCCGATTGTGAACGCTATATTCGCTTCCCTAAGCTAGTTCCGTACCCCCGAGCTAGAACTATACACCGACTTGAAGACCAGAGAAAAGGCACAAAGTATGAGGGAAGCACTTTACGACAGGGTTCATTTATGTACAGAAAATATAGGGATTTTATAGTAATTTAAGAGTCCTTGAGTTTTACCGAAAATTCTTAATTATTTATTTAAACACATAAATATTGGTACAAGGAAGCACCAGATATATATGCGCCACACAAATCTCATTCGATTTGTGTGAGGGCTGTAATACTTCCCAGGTGCCCAGACTGAAGCAGGTGGTTTTCTTAGGGGGCTACAATCGGAGCCTTTGACCTAAAGGTCTAGTCCACAAGGCAGTGGAGCATCGTGAAGAGATGCAGTCTAATGGTAGCCGGTGATCAATGATTGATTGATTCAACCATCATCTTAACTCAAAACTTATTGAAATTAAAAGGAAGAGCTAATGAAACAAATACGAACTAGAATCATTGAACATTATAAAAATACATAAACCGAAAATTTCGCAAATGGTACAGATTGATGAAAACAAATAAATCAGTGTGCATCAATTACTTTATGATTTCTTGAAATTCCAATCAACATATCACATGAATATTGATTCAACAATGTTGAATTTTGACACTTATCACATCCAAAATAGTGATAATGTTAGGTAGAAGTTTTGATGACCTGGATTAATGGTTTGTCACAGTCATTATATTAGTCGAATGTTAAATGTGTTTTTTTTGTGTACACAAATGATAGTTTTACTTAGAGCGAACGAGCATCACTGGATAAATCTAACCAAAACCAACATACATACACATGACCATACTACCATAGTGGATGCTACTCCCGAGATTGTTTGTAAGTAGTGTGTAACGGAACGTGGCATCGAAGGTCTACGAATTGTCAGACGGAGTGAAGAGTTTCAATACATCGAAAGCACGGCGTAGACATATCACGTGGAGACCAGCCTAGTGCCGTACTTTACATTATTAATACTACTTACTATTAGCCACTATCTTAAATACTAGGTATACTTTAAAAACATATAATTCAACATGGAAAAATATATTACTTCAAGAAATATCAGTTCACCGCTCTCATCTGAACCACGATAAGCTTCATGTGAACGTTGTACAATAAAACGACTTTGAGCTACATTTAAATCGATATCATTCCCATTCTATGAGAGAGAAAAAAACATATGAAATATTACATTTTCACTTCAGTATAAAACAATAAAAGTAAATTTTGAAAATTACGCTTAGCCAACGTTGGCCAGACACTATCAACAACAAGCTATTGTGGGAGACAACAAACCAGATTCCAGCGGAGGAAAAAAAATCAGAAGAAAGCGCCGGATGTGGATAGGACACACATTGAGGAAGTTACCCAACTGTATCACAAGACAAGACCTCACATAGAATCCTGAAGGCCAGAGGAGAAAGGGACGACCAAAGAACACATTACACCGAGAAATGGAGACAGATATGAGAAGAATGAACAAAAGTTGGATACAACTAGGAAGGAAGACCCAGGACACAGTGGGTTGGACAATACTGGTCAGTGACCTATGCTCCTCTCAAAAGCGTAAGTAAGTTACGTACGCTCACCCAACATGAGATTCAGCCTAACTACAAGGATCTACCACAAAAATGCAATTAAAGTAAGGGAAACACAAATAAGCTTCAAAAGGATAGTAAGAAATTTTAGCTTATTATTAACCAATCAGAAAATAGTTATTATAAATAAAAAGAAAAAAAAACAACAACAAAAGATTTTATATCATAATTAAATTTGTTCAATTTTCATGTAGGTTTGTCTATCAAGAAGTTGAAAATTATCGATAAATGACTTAATCCTCATATGCTCACATATAATATCCATGTTCGTAGACTTGGAAATATCTGTCCTTCTAAAACAGTGTCCCTACAATATTCTTGTTTATTATGTAATCATTTCAGACGTTTCGAAGACTATTACAAAGTTATTGAATTTGATATAATATACAAGTCATTCATCTTTGCATTTGACATGGAAACCAAAATGTTATTTTCTTGATTCAAACTTCCTCGTTCAAACATTACAAATTTTGTGCCAAAACCTTAGTGTACCTGAAATTCATACTGTTCATGATGATCACTCTGTCTTATTTCAGTATTACAGCTTCAAAAACATGGCTATTTATTTAAATATTTAAACATATAAATATGTGTATAAAAAAGGGTACTAGATACATATGCGCTACAACACTACCCGGGTGCCCAAAGCGAAGCCTTGAATTAATTTTTCTGACTTAGTGATGATATAAAGATGACGTGTTGGTTGCATGTACGTTTTTTTAAACTATTTAGTTGAACACATAAACATAGGTACAAGGGGGAACCTAAAACATACACAATAACAATGAAGCCACTAGTAGTCATCATAGATTTGTGTGAGGTCTGGTATATTGCCCGAGTGACCAAACCGCAGCAGGTTGTTTTATTATGGGGTCACACTCCGAACCTTTGATTTAAAGGTCTGATCCACAAGGCAGTGGAGCATCGTGAGGAGATGCAGTCCAATGGTAGCCGGCGATCAACGATTGATTCATACGCCATTGGTTCCTTCAGGATACTGGAGCCCATGTACACTACCGATTTGGAATCAGTGTTTTTCAACTCCCCTAGGTGAACTTTTCATGTCCACCAACCCGGTTAAAGCGTCGGACTTTCGCTTTTTCGTACTCTCAATTTTGTAAAGAACACCTGTGGCACGAGAAGGCAGTGAGTCAGTCAGTCAGCTACAACGTACAACCAGGCACATATATGTATCGATCCATGTTGACATATCTAGTTCGCACAGCAAGATCAACACCGGATTCATACAAATAGTTAATTAATAAGGATATAGTATAGGAAGGAAGAACGCTATGAAGCAATTTTAATCTTAAGGTTTAAGGGAAGATAAAGAGTGTATACACCTAAACTATTGTGATCGATTCTGAGCCATGTCGCACACAGTCTCCAACCATTGGTTACGATAGTCACGCGGACCCCAAAAAGATAGTCTACATCTGCCAACATGGCTCAGACTAGAAATTAGTGACATCAAGCATTGATGCCACGTTTGGTTTGAGTAAGACTTCCCTGACAGAGGCTATATACGCATGGCCATGTGAGAGTATTTGGAGAGGGAGAGCAAACTCTCCTCATTCTCGGCCGTACCATGATGTAATTTATCAAAACAAAATAAGAAACACTTCAGCAACAACAACAATAATAACAACAAAAGAAACATACCAAATAATTTAATGAATTTAATAAATCATTAATTTTTCGTGAATAATGTAAACCAGTATGACTTTTAGCTAATAAACGTTGTAGTTTTTTACGTATAAATATACGATCTACATTAGCCATTAACATAAATGCAATCATATTATGCATTATATTAACTAATAAACAATCTTCTTCTAATTCCATTTGTTTACGTTTTAATAATGAAGAATTTTGATATTTTAATAAAAGTTCTTTTGGTCGAAAATCCATACCTAAATGTGAATTGAAGAAATCAATGATATAATCATAGAAATATAATAAAATAAATATGTTGACTATCAATGATTAAGTGTAGTATAAGTTTTATAATATTATGAGTAAAAAGTTATAGTATAAGGGGGAACCAAATACATAGACAATAACAATCAGGCCACTAGTAGTCATCATTGATTTGTGTGAGGTCTCATATATATATTGCTCGAGTGCCCAAACTGAAGCAGTTGGTTTTATATAAGGGGACCGCACTCTGAGCTTTTGACCTACAGGTCTAATCTACAAGGTATTGGATCAACGACACAAGATGCAGTCCCATGATAACCAGTGATCAACAATAGTTTCATAAACCTTCTGTTGACCCAAGGTTCTGGAGTCCATGTGAACCATTGGATTGAAATTAGGATTTTCCAACTCCCTTAGGTGAACTTTTCGTGTACACCAACCGGGTTCAATCGTCGAATATTCGCTTTTGGTTCTCTCAATTTCGTAAACAATACTGTTATAACTTTATAAAAAATAGATGTATGACTATTCGTTAATGATTCTTATGTCCGGCTTTTATCACGTGAATTATTCACCGATCAATATACGAATTTTCAAACCTTAACATTGTGCTAATCAATGATATTCAACTGGTATGAGCAGTTTAGCCTCCTTATTGGTCCTCTGTCCGCCTAGTCTTTCCACTTGAATCCAGAACATCAATTGCAGCTTCTACTATACGAATCGATGCGAATCGTATATTTCAAGCATACTTTGTTTATATACTTGACAGACAGATCGCATCACACCATAAAATAGAAAATAATATTCGTACAAGATCAAACCAAATGTGGCTGTGAACGTGGGAGACAGTAATCAATAAACTGAGTATAATTTGGGAACAATAAATCGTATGATAATAGTTTATAAGTCAAAATAAAGCTTATAATAAGATGATATAGATATACACAATCTATTTACTCAATAGTTAAACAATAAGAAGATATATAGAATAGCCGTCCATTATTACGTCCCGTAGGTTAGCCGTACTTATATCTTCGCTACAATATAACAAACACCATTGACACGAGAAGGCAATGAGTGGGATTTCCCTGTCAGTGTCTGTATACGCGTGGTCATGTAAGAATATTTCGAGAGGAGGAGTAGGCTCTCCTCACTCTCGACTGTACCAGGGTATTTAAGTGCTGCATGTAGTGTGTGATACTCTAAGATTTGATTACAACTAGCATGGTTGGCATTATTCACTAATGAATAGTGTTATACTGGAATGAATTAAGACGTCCAGTGTTGACTAATTTCATATCATCTGCTTGAATAACTAAACTCAAGTGATGATGAAAACTCCATGTCAAAACATTTAGTAGTTCCCAGTTTTCATAGTTAACGAAGTGAAACATGCTTTCAAGGAGATGGTCAGGAATATCTATTTTCTCTTATTTTTTATTCTATTTGACTGTAGATATACTTCTACAGATGATTGGATCTGCAAGATGAAGACATTGAAAAAACGTAGAAAATTTTAAGACCCTTATACAACGGTAAATAAGCTTTCAGAATATTCATTAAATCTGAGTTATGAGTAAAGAGGTAGACTTCGTTGTTATAGCTCTTTCAATAGTCGGAATCCACACATAAAGACTTTCAAAGTTGTTAATCACAGTTGTTTGGTACTTTACATCTTTTAATTCTCATCTTCAATGAAGCGGTAAACCATCAGTTTACATATTAATATATTCGTTACAAAACTGAAAATGTCATAGTTTCTATTATGAATTGATCGATAATTTGTAAGAGGACAGTTATTCAGTCATTTTTGGATTGTTTAACATTCATTAAATACTGAAAAGAAAACTTATACATCGATTATAAATGAACCAGATATTCTATTGTAGTGAATGAGAACACGTTGGGGACAATCGAATTTATTTATGCACAAAATCTCACTAAATTCTGACAACCATACAGTAAACAGTTAATTTGCAAATTAATAATCAATTGTCTCAATCTTCACTGTTCATTCTGTAAATATCAATCCATCTTCTCTAATTTCATTGTTTATGCATTTTCCCTACCAATTGCGATTCATTTCAGTTCTTTCCTTAGCGATCTTCTGTCCAAATACATTCTATGTCTGACCATTGCCATATACTACTTATGAGAATATAAGTAGACCACACCAGACTATGAGTAAATTATATATGTAACGAGTGATTGTTAATTGTTTTCAAACAATCAATTTGGAGAATATATTGACGTATAATGTTCTGATACAACAGGAAGTAGAAAGCCTTAACTTTCTATCTATAAATAATGATTGTTATGTATCATTTAGTTGTTTTGTCTTTGAAAATTTACGCTTAGTGTTGTGATGGCCGATGTCCGAAAACTGATACTGATATACGATGTGTTACGCACTAACCATACACAACTGACTATTTGAGCGAGTAAGTATATTGGGCTACCGAATAAAATGCACAAATACTCATTTATATGTATATAAAACTCTACCGCTTAGGAAATTAATCCATTTCCTAGCCAATAAAATACACTTATCCTTCAGGTCACTTTTGATTAGCATCGACTGACCTTTTTATTAGGCTACTTCAGACTGGCTTACTATATCACCTAAATGGTGGCAATTAGTAAACGTTAATTAACTGGCAATCTATCTATAACCAATGTACATTCAATCAATAAAAATGACTTTTTTTCCCTTCAATATTTGAAGATTTATAAGAAAGAACTAACCAAGTATATCTCGTTCTTGTGCAACTGTATCTAAAAAGGAATCTTCCCAAAATTGTAGATTACCCAATATTTTACTTTTACGCAATTCAGTATCGAAAATATCTTCAAACAAATAAGTCCATGGTACCTTCTTCATTTTAGATGGAGATACTGTCATGTCTGATGATGATGAATCTGGTGGAGGTGGAGTTGACATTAGCAAAGTTAATTTACACATATGACATTCTGATTGTTTTCTTTGTTCTTCTATCTTTCGTTGTTGTTGATTTCTATCATCTATATCTTCGTTTTCTGATTCAGTATCATTAAAATGAAATTTTAAATCAGGACGATAAACTGCTGGTGGTGTACATGTATTCGGTGAAGAAGTATATATAGTACATGTAGTTTGATCATCTGTGTCATTAGATGAATTTGATATGATTGATGGATCCGTTAAAATTAAATGTGATTGATAATATCTGTTTGAAGATAATTAAAACCAAACAACTACATGAAAATAAATATAATTCAAACAAGTAAAAGCATAACACTTGGAATTAAGCCCTAAAGTACTTTATCCTATTGTAATCTATTGTTTACTATAAGAGTTGAGTTAGTACGATGAGGAAAAAACAGATGCTAACGAATAGATTTTTTCATATCTAGAAGAAAAGACATTATACGTTAATGTAGCTCATTTACAAAGTATAAGTTGATATATTCAGATTTGAAACATACTGTTTATATGCTGAATAACGACACCATTTGGGAGTTTGAATTGAAGTTAATCTAAATTGGGTTGAAACCTGTGGAATTTATATTTATTTATTTATTTATACACATGAATGTTGGTCTAAAGGGGCACCAGATACATATGCGCCACACAAATCTCATTTGATTTGCGTGAGAGCTGTGATACTACCCAGGTGCTCAAACTGAAACAGGTGATTTTCTTAGGGAGCCATACTCCGAGCCTTTGAACTGAAGGTCTGATCCACAAGGCAGTGAACCATCGTGAGGAGATGCAGTCACATGGTAGCCGATGACCAACAATTGGTTCATATACCATTTGTTTCCTCAGGATACTGAAGCCCATGTGCACCATTGGTTTGGAATCAGGGTTTTCCAACTCCCCTAGGCGGATCCTCCACATCCACCAACCCGGTTAAAGCGACGGACATTCGCTTTTCGTCCTCTCAATTGCCTAAAGAACATCCCCGCCACGAGAAGGTAATGAGTGGGAGTTCTCTGTTAGAGGCTATATACGCGTGGCCATGTGAGAGCATTTAAAGAGGGAGAATGGACTCTCCTCACTCTCGACCATACCAGGACATTTTTGGGGCAACCTGTGGAATGAATCTAATAGATCTATTATAGAACACTTATTGGCATGATCATGTATACAATGGTGCAAAATTTCGATCAATTTTTGTAACTGTACAATACAGACTTCCCTTCAAATTCAATCGACTTCATAATATTCACAGTTCATCACTAAGAACTTCAAAAACTGTCATAAAGCTAAACTCAATTATACTTCTCAATACTTTCCCAATTTCTAATGATTAGGTAGCTGACTTAATAGTTTATGGTAGAAATAATTTCCCAATAAAAAATCCATGTGTTTAATTTTCAGTACTGACTATATTCCATAGATCATGTTCACATCACTATCAAGCTAAGAAACTTATCATCATCATGTTGCAGTAGAATGAGGATATCATTATAGAAATTTCTATTCAACTCGAATTACATGCAAATTCCTTATGAAACGTCAGTAATGTTTATCGCAAATCTTTTAAGGAAATTAATGTAGTTTAAACTTTTCAAATCAGTATTTGTAACGGTTCGTGTCATTCTATCATTCATATACAGGACTACAAACGATCTGCCCCCTTTGGCATCAGATATCAAACTTTATTTGAATTGATCAGATAGTGCCACATATTCACAAGTTTTGATTAAGTTGGATACTGGCAAACAGTTGCACAAAAAATTGCGTATTTTGTCCTGTTTGAGACTCTCTAGTTGAATGTACCTGGATCGCAGTATGGATGTTAATATCAGCATTCAAATCCAGTACCTTCCGTTTCAAAGGCTCAGTGAGTTATCTACTATCCCAAGTAAGACGAAGCACGACACATAGATTCGACTGCTAGCTACTATCCAACTTTACTTTCGAGATATGAATTACTGGTAATACTAGTTTCCTTTATCTCTCTTCCCTCGACCAGTTCCTAACATAGAAAATGTGAAACAAATTGGTCAAAAACATTCAAATTTACACCAACTACTACATTTTAGTTAAACACCTACCTGTAGCCAAAACTTCGTTGACTTTTACGATTAGGCAATTCCGGTACATAATCTGGTGGTATATTATTAATATCATTTCCTTCATTCTCAATATCACGATGTGATTTTAACTTACTCGTTGATTCATGTAGTTTGGCATCAGAAGCAAACAATTTATCAAATTTTCCACAATCATTATGTCGATTCACTGTAATACAACTCCCAGTATGATTAACACCGATGGTATCATTTGCATTATTCAATGGTTGAAGATTTTGTTTAATCACATCAGTACTATCTGATTTAAATACAGGTTTCGATTGAATTTGTTCATTGTCTTCTCTATCCGATGATGGTTCACTCATTGTAACAACAACACTGGTGAATGGATGATGACCACGACCATGAAATAGATCTGATATGAATATTTTTTTCACAAGAAAAAAACAAACAATAAAAGAAATAGAAAGAGATTAGGTACTAAGAAACAGAGAAAAATAACAGTTAGTTAGAGATTACAACAACAATCGGTGCAAAGTAGTATCTCTATCTACACATTACAATGTGATGAAATCGATAAGCAAAAGAATACTGGTGAATGTACAACAGCAACAATAACGCAAACATAAACATTAAGTTAGCAAACACCTCCATTCTACACAACATAACCATGCATAGTCATATAGACTAAACTAAACAAACTACAATTTTTAAACGCTCACTATGATCAAGTGTTTTACTATGATGAGTTATATGTATACCCCTGATAATAAATGGTGAATTGATGTATGGTATAGTTGGAGATGGATATGAATCTGTAACAACAGCTTGTTGTTGTAACAACAGATCATTAGTACCATTATCAACACTATGGTCAAACTGATGATTGATGGTTGATAATGAGGTAAGAGTTGAATCATTATCATCATTATGACTATTGGATAGTTTTGAAAAATAATGCGGTTGTTTTAAATTTTTTAATAATTTTGATGATATACTACTATATATGTTAGTTAAATGTTGATTAGAATAATCAAGTTTTGTTTTAAATGAAATTAATTTATTTGAAACATTCGTTAATTCAAATGTATTCTCTAATACATGTAATGGTTTCGTTAATGGATGATTGATGAAATCACTAGGGATGTTATTGGCATCAAGTGATTGTGAATGATTAAAGGATGATATGTTCTGCTGTTGTTTCTTTGCAGGGCAGTAATGATTATTCTGATGGTGATCATCATGATGAGGAGGAGGATGAAGATAATGTTTTGTGAGTGAAGTTATACTATATGGTTGTTGTAATACAGATGAATCTATAGAATATCCATAAAAAGGTATTGAACTAGAATTTGAAACTGCAATCCAATAAATGGAAGAAACAATGTCATAAATGAACATAGTAAACAGTGGAAAATTCAAATATGAAATACGTTTTTTGCTTAGAAAAAAGCAAATTGAAAAAAAAAGTTCACGAGAAGAAATACGGATCGGTTGTTTTGGCTTAGTTTGGAACATAGATATACACACACTCCCTGAAACTGCACATATCCATCAGTCAGATGGAATACTGATGTGAACAGCGAAACAAGAAGCTTTAACAAACTACGGAAGCTATTTTTCGGGGGGACATTATTTCATTTAAATTTAAAGCTTGTAAAACTGTAACATTTATTGTTGCTCCTAGTCTATTCTACAGATCATGAGCTTTCGTTCGATGTATGATTCACTGATATAGCTTTTTCTGTTTCACAGCTATTGTAATTTAGACGTAACTTTTTGTACTCTATTTTCTACTTTAATCCCCCAGTTTTGGACATAATTGTATTTTCTTAATTATTGTACGTTGTGGTCAGGTTATACATCTATTTACTCATGTAACTTTTTTTACACTAATCTGAATTCGGGTACCAGATCGAGATTGGAGTAAAGAGAGTAGTGTTCCAGTTGTCTAGTCTCTTCTCTCTTGCGTGCTTGTCACCCAATCAGGGATAAAATAGTTTTCGTCTCTTTACCCCCACTTCGAACTCACGCATACTAACCTCAAGATTAAGCCAGTCAGCCTATCGCGTCAAGGTCTTAATCTACATAAGACAAGTGGGTAGACAGATCAATGACGTAACAAATACACTATATCCTTTTCGATCATATTCTTAAATTATGAAAGTAGTAACAGGATGACAATATATTTTATTCTTGATCGCGTTGTTTTGCACTTGGGTAACATCTATTAGAAAGAGACTACCAACTGATTGATGATAAAGTGAGGTGTAGGGTACTAAGTAAACACCACATATGCTAGGAATCTTCATTGAGAAAATAACTAATAATCCAGTGAAGAGTTCTTTACTTTCGAACCAACCTTTTCTGCTTCTAAGTCTCAATACACGGGTTTCACTTACTTAGAAATTCTCATTGATGTAGCTGGCTATCAGTTGTGTTACTAACACTCAACCACTCCTTACCTCGATAAATAGTAATCGTGACCAACATATGATTAAGGGTTGTGAGAAATTCATGAATGAAAAAACTATGCGACGGCATTGATTTTCAAAATAAGTGGTATAAGATGAAGATTTCCCAGGTATGATGGATGTCATAACTGTGATAAGCAATTATCAACGTACAGTGCCATGGTTCAAAATCGATCACTGTAGTAATTAAGGTCATTTTATTTTATTTATTTAAACACAAAAATACAAAAAAGCACCAGATACATATCCGCCACACAAATCAAATGAGATTTGTGTGAGGGCTATGATACTGCTCAGGTGCTCAAACTGAAACAGGTGGTTTTCTTAGAGGGCCACACTCCGAGCCTTTGACATAAAGGTCTGATCCAAAAGGCAGAGGAGCATCGTGAGGAGATGTAGTCACATGGTAGCCGGTGTCCAACAATTGGTTCATACGCCATTTGTTCCCTTATGATACTGGAGCCCATGTGCACCACTGGTTTGGAATCAGGGTTTCTCAACTCCCCTAATGCGACTTTCTGTGTCCACCAACCCGGTTAAAGCGTCGGACATTCGCTTTTCATCCTCTCAATTTCGTAAAAAACAGTATTGCCACGAGAAGGCAGTTAGTAGGACTTCCCTGGCAGAGGCTATAATCGCGTGGCCATGTGACAGCACTTCAAGAGGGAGAGCGGACTCTCCCCACTCTCGGCCGTACTAGGGCATTTGAGCGCTAAATGATGTTTGATAGCGGTAGAATGTGTTGGCGAAAAGTGTAAGCCAATCCTAAATATTCATTCTTCACTTTTATATTTCATATTGTCTGTTTAGTTCCATTACTATCTCTATGGTTGATTAACTTCTCTATTTACTTTTCATGATATAAGATATGCCCAACTAGGATATATATATATATACATACAAACGAGTATATATTGCATGTGATCAAGTAGTTGAAAACAAAAATTCACCTTAAGAAATCAACTATTATTATTATTATAGGTTCATAATCTTGTGAATAAGAAACAAGTGACTATTCGGTCATAATGAAGTGTGACAAAAGAATATACATATATAAGATTTCATCGGACAAAGAATCAATCAATCATATGTGTCCTTATTCATTCATATGATATAAATGATAAAACAAGGGAATTCAATGAAGACGATCAGTCATTTGAGATCAGCTGATAATGCATAAGGCTAAATTACACGTCAATTAAATTAATCTTAATTAATTTGAAGGAGAAAAAAAAAGAACGTGAATAGACAATGTTTCCAAGTTATTAAAATTAAGTAATAAGACGACTTCATTTATATCAAATAGAGGTTTGACTTTCAGTCACCAGGTCACACATCCCAGTTACAATCTAACTAGTACGGTGTGCGCTACCGAGTAATGTCATTAGGTATCACACATAAAATATAACTCAAAGTTTATTACACAAATTTATATTCGATAAATTACGTGGAACTCTGAGTTACATAAATTGTATAAAAGATGATAGTGTGAATCGATTGCTGATTATTAACTAAAAGATCCACAAACTAACGGCAGTGATAATAAAAGAAGATTAACGAAGTTTAAAACATACCATTAATACCAACTAATACCATACAGACGTCTATTTCGTCTGAGTTAGAACTTCTTGCCTAAGAACATCTAAATACACTGAATATTGTAACTGCCGAGATACTGAGATGAAAGCAGAATCCAACTTTCTTAATTCAAAACGTTAGAAGGAAAACATGCTGTATGGATCAAAGGAATATTTGATTCAATATGGTTAAATGTCGGTAGTTTTATTTTAGTGCACCGGATGGCAAAAGAACAATGATGGGTAATTTCTTTAATAAAACTACTGTTCATACAATGACTCAACAAATTATTAAAACAATCAAAGAAATTGGTAAGCAAAGATGGATAGTGGCTAGTGGTGGAAACCAGGACGCGCGTTTCGTCGTATTCGGGACTCGTCAGCTGGATGTACTTGAGTCTCAGATAAATTACACTGCTTGATATACATCAATCAAAAGTCAATCAAAGTCATCTCTCGCTCCAAGTACAAAGCATTACTAAATAACAGTTGAAATCTATGCAGGCAAATAAACAAACGAAAATGTAACTAAAGCATGAAACCACACAAAACTATGTGACAGTTCACTTAGGTACGAGGTAATAGAGATGAAGTCAACTGATGGATGAGTAGTGATCAATATCATGTCTTATTTAGTCCTTGATCGAAGTTTGTACATCACATTCCAATATAACCGATTAAAAATCATAACTCAATATATTAATATAATATGATGTTTTGAGACAATTAGCAGGAGACTATAGACATATGTTTTGTGTTAGTTGTTGCTCATCAGTGTTGTGTATGTGGATGCATGGGGAAAACTGTATCAAAGTTACGCAATTCAAACACAGATCACCCCTAGTACTAGTAGTAGTAGTAGTAATAACAGTCAATAATCTGATCAATTATTTGAACTGACACAGACTTCTCGAACTATCAACAAGTTTACACCAACAGAACATTCAGCAGTAACTAATATCATGCCCATCTTTGTTGGTCCATGAGTAAACAGGTCGAAAAGTGTCACGATAACAACTAACAAGTACACACATACGTGTTATTACAAACAAACAAACGAACAGAATAAGAAGAAAAGCACAACACAGCACAACAATAGTCTTACCTAGTTTCGAACCATCTCTACTATATGATTCACAATCAGATAAATCTAGTCGATTATTCTAATAATAAAATGTTAGAGAAAAAAAGGGAGGAGAATGAACAAAATGTTAAGTGGTAACATAATAAATGAAGTAATTTTGTAAGTATCATTAAAATACTTAAATGAATAGTTAAAATATGATATCATACAATGCACTTTCAAACGATGTTTCTCCTAATCTAAATGTAAATTGTTACTCCAGGACTGGCTTGCATCAACAGCTGAACTAAAAATACGGAGTGAAGTAGTCGAACGCGCCGACAACTTCACTTATCTTTGAAGTCTGATCAGCCCTAATGGGTTGGTGTCTGACGAAATATCAGTACGGATTCAAAAAGATCGTTTGGATTTTGCCACCTTACGTCACCTATGGCGAAGACGAGATATCCGTCTATCAATTAAGGGACGAGTATACTGCGCATCAGTTCGCTCTGTTCTATTTTACGGCTGCAAAACATGGCCATTAAGAGTAGAGGATACTCGTAAGTTACTAGTATTTGACCACAGATACCTTAGAAATAATGCTCGCATCTTCTGGGATAACCGGGTAAGTAATAGTGAGAATCAACGGGTATTAGGAAATGATGACAAATCAGTTGATGAGGTTGTCAATCTTCATCGCCTGAGATAGTTAGGCCACGTGTTACGTATGTCTGAACACCGATTACCACGACGCGCTATGCTGATTAGTGTAGGGGATGGTTGGAAGAATATTAGAGACGGCCAAACCAAAACATGGAATCAGAGCATGAAGTCACTAACTTCTAGTCTGAGCCATGTTGGTAGATGCAGACCACTTGGTTGGGGTTCGTGTGAATATCGTAATCAATGGTTGGAGACTCTAGGTGACATGGCTCAGAGTCGATCACAATGGCGTAGGTGTATACACTCTTTATCTTCCCTTAAACCTTAAGATTAAATTGCTTCATAACTTTCTTCCTTCCTATACTATATCCTTATATACAACCTATCTTTTATATACTACCACCACTAAATTAACTACTTCTATAAATTTGGTGTCGATCTTGTTGTGCTAATGAGGTATGGAAACTTGGAGCGATGCATATGTGTGCCTGGTCCCACGTTGTAGCTGACTGACTTTCAAACGAACAAGATACATTAACTGTAACTAAACAAAAAACAAGAGGTCTGTTGCATTTGTTGAAAGCATATATATCCCTTATTTTGTTAAAGTGAAGGAGTAGTATCTCTGTAGGGAGACATAAGAGTTTTGAGTTCAATATTGTATGGAATAAAGAATGAGCACTTCGATGGTGTTAATAGAACAGAAAACTCTATTTAGCAAGTTGAAATGATGCATCGCGTGTGTGAGCAATTAACAATTTCAGTCTCCCAACAATGTGGAAGAATAGTTCCTATTTAGTTAATAGGAAGGAAAAAATAGTAATACTGAAAATCTCGTCAACTCATCAATGTGACTGTAGAAACTATACCGCTTGTAGCAAATGATGATATGTTGTATAGACTAATGACTAGTATAATCACACAGATACTAATATGATTTAAATAGTTTTGTGAAGTTTGTTGACTAAATTATTCACGAACTGGCGTTAGTTGACAAACTTCTGATTTTGATAGTCATAGGTTCAATTATAATGCAAGATCATGAGTAGGAACTATTTAAGATCCTCACACTAGAACGAAATCGATGTTTAAAACCTCATGATTTTCAATGGTTGATATTTCACTGTACTGTTAAAGTGGCATTAATTTGCAGAGTAACCTGCTCTGTTACACACTATTAAGCAACAGGCTGGAATTCCACTACACCTATTTTAGTTTCAACAGTCCAGTAGGATCAATAATTGTCAACTATGAAGTTTATCTGAAAGTTTAGTAAAGGGACATTTACTTGAGTTACATTTGATAAATTACACAAAGTTGTCACTTTCAGTTTAAAAACTGTGAAATTAATCAAAATCACAAACTGATGCCAGACTAAGAGAAATTGTAGGCTTCATATATCAACGACATAAAAATCAAAATATAAGTATAAGCAAAGAACGACGATAAAGGCTAGCCGTGGAATCCAGGACGCACGTCTCGTCATATTTGGGACTAGTCAGCTGGATGTACCTGAAGCCCTAAACATCAATGAGAAGATTCAACCAAACAATATCAAGTAAATTTAAACTTCACTCATTGCACAAGCAAGTGGCTATCAGGACTCAGTAGCTAAGTGGATAACGCGATGGTATTTGAAGCGAACGGTACTGGGTTCGAATCCCAAAGTGAACATCAATTCTGAGATGCAAGTAAATCCAGCTGACAAGTCCCAGATAGGACGAAACGCTCGTCAAACTGGATTCCACTACTAGCCACTATCCATATTTGCTTGTAATTCTTGTGTATTAAGGCTATATCGAGGTAACCAAGGGTTCGCAGATATGTCAATAAGAAACTGATAATTGCAGTCCTAAACATCAATGGGAAGATTCAAGCAAACAATACTAAGTGAATTCAAATTACCAGTGTATACATCTCAAATAGAACACGTAAATAGATTGTTCAATGGTAAACTTGAAATGTTTATTTCAATTTGGACAATTTATAAGCGAACTATAGAATTATGTCTCTGAAGAAGCTCAAACCATACTACATAGCCCTTAAATGCCTTGGTACAGCCGAGAGTGGAGAGAGTCCGCTCTCCCTCTCGAAACGCTCTCATATGGTCACGCATACGCAATCAACTCACTGCCTTCTCGTGACATTACTGTAGTTTACGAAATTGAGATGACGAAAATCGAATGTCCAGCGCTTTATCCGGGTTGATGGGTATGGAGGATCCACATAGAGGGGTTGGAAAACCTTTATCCCAAACCAATGGTGCACATGGGCTCCAGTATCTTAAGGGAACAAATGGCGTATGAACCTATCGTTGGTCATCGGTTACCATGTGACTGCACCTCCCCAAGATGCTCAACTGCCTTGTGGATTAGACCTTTAGGTTGAAATTTCCGAGTGTGGCCCTCTAAAAAAACCACCTGCTTCAGTTTGCGCACCTGTGCTGTATCACAACTCTTACACAAATCGAATGAGGTTTGTGCGGCGCATATATATCCGGTACACCTTTGTATCAATATTTATGTGTTTAAATAAAATTAAATAAATAAAGCAGAGCGATGAGTTCCATTGCTAAGATCTTTACATACATATCTATTGCCACATTCAAATGTTTCAACTTAAGATATAATAATAATAATTCACCTTATTCAAATACATTAAAGTATATCCTAAGTAACTAACTAGATCTCTCAATCTATATTTAACCATTTGATGTTTAATATATAACGAAAACAGAAACAACAACAAAAAAAACTTGATTTTCTAAGTAAGTCATGTGTTGATTTCATATATAGATATATATTCAATAAATAATCATGAGAAAACAGATTACATTGTCAAAATGACTTATAATATTGCCAATTGATTATTATTATTATGCTTTAAATGCTACGAATATGTCAGTTTTCTTTTGTAATCCCTGTCATACATATAAATCACAATGTCGAATTACCTAGTTTCAAATACTACAATAGTAAACTTTGTCTTTGACTAAGATGACGACGTCATGTTTTAAAGTAATTTATAAATATATGTTCTAGCCTCCACATCTAAGCGCCTAAACTACAATTTATTTTATTTATTTATTTGAACACATAAATACTGGTACGAAGGGGCACCGAATATATATGCGCCACACAAATCTCATTTGATTTGTGTGACAGCTGTGATACAGCACAGGTGCGCAAACTGAAGCAGGTGGTTTTCTTAGAGGGCCACACTCGGAAATTTCAACCTAAAGGTCTAATCCACAAGGCAGAGGAGCATCGTGAGGAGATGCATTCCCATGGTAGCAGGTGACCAACGATTGATTCATACGCCATTTGTTCCCTTAAGATACTGGAGCCCATATGAACGATTGATTTGGAATCAGGGTTTTCCAACTCCCCTAAGTGGACTCGCCGTGTCCACCAACCCGGTTAAAGAGTCGGACATTCGCTTTTCATCCTCTCAATTTCGTAAACAACACCCCCGTCACGAGAAGGCAGTGAATAGGACTTCCGTGACAGAAGCTATATACGCGCAGCCATATGAGAGCATTTCAATAGGGAGAGCGGACTCTCCCCACTCTCGGCCGTAGCAGGGCATTCGGGGGCTATTTATAATCAACAACCAAACTACAATATAAAATAATAATGGTATATATTGTAATGGATCGGATATTCGAAGAAGACAATTACGATCTTGATGGTAGGTCTTTGTGATGCAATACAAACTGATGAAAACGCTATAGAAAAATGTAAGCGAAATTGATTGTTACTTCATAAGAATTCTTCTATAAAGGTTGAAAACAATGTGCATGGGCGAGTGGTTTAATTTCACAGTCAGTTAAGGGTATGAGGGCTAATATCACTTCCAGGTTCCCAGGTTGTAGGAAGGATTTGAAAGTGACCAACTTGATCTCGTGTGCAGTTACGAGTATGAGGGCTAATATCACTTCCCGGCAGGCCACACCGTGGAAGGGTATTTCTTGAGGGACCTGAAAAGGAAGTTGGATTAGTGTTGGCCTTAATGACCTGGGAGTGTGAGCGTAGAGCCCAAGGAACAACTGCTTGAGGCCGGTCATACACGGCCTTTTTGTGGGTGTTTTTTTGACGTGTTAGCCCCGTTCTTCACAAGACCTTACCATCGGAGACGGAAATCCGTGGGATAAAGCGAGGTGTGCATTTTTAGGGTCGACCTTTTCTAACGCCACGCCTCCTTGTGGGAAGGCAGCATCTCTGTCATGCTGGTCGTCTGAAGGAAACACCTTACTGCTGTCACAACTCTGTACAGTCAGCAGTACGACTTCGCGTTCGGACCTTGGGATTGCTGCTTTTAGTCTTACCGCTCTTCAACCGACCTGCCTGGCATGGTAGGACCTTGAGGAACAATTGTTCCAGCCAGTATAGCTCGATCGGTTAATCACGATAGGCAAGCCCGACCACCGCGTCAAGCTAGCAGCAACGGTCGGGTTAATTTCACAGTAGCTCATTTAAATCGTTTTTATAGATTTAAGATCAGTTCAAACATTATTCGGCCTATTTCGAAACACCGAAATCTAATGGTTCATATAAAAAACAACGACACTATAATTTATGAACGAGACAATCAGAAACGTTTGAGCGATTTCGAGCTCAGGGCACCTATTTCAGTAACCAATACTCATGTACAATCGGTTTACAGAGGATTTTAAAGAAGACGTTCAGTCAGTCAGTCAGTCAGTCAGTCTTTTATCGAGCCCCTCCATCTGTGGCTGATAGCGATGTGATCTAATTGGGTCCAACGTTGGGACGAATTCGGGGATCGCCATGTCAAAAGATGTTTTTCCTTATGCTTAAAGTTAGTATCTGCAAGAAATAGGTAGTTATCTGAGCATAGCTGCAACAGACGGTCGCCATTATCTGTTCTTTTAGCCTCGACACCATAAGATCCACCCAAGTTTACCTAATTGAGCATTAAAGTAACCAGTCACTATTACTACATCAGAACGCCTAGCTTTTCGAAAAAGGTCGGAAATTTTCCTGTAAAACTCATCTGTTATATCGTCTGAGCTGCAGTCAGTGGGAGATTAGGCAGAGACGACGCAGAGGCAACGACGAGTTTCCCTATCTTTCCGAGTCCTTACTGATCCGTTTAGTCGGACAGCGCATAGACGACTGTCTACTGAGATCCAGTCTAAAAGAGCTAGTTCTGCCCTGGGACTTAATGCTATACCTAAGTTCTTTTATTTGTCATTGCGGTAATCAATTAATTATTGGACCTTGTGCAGACTATCGTGATGATGTTATTTTTCGAATTAATATACGTTGGAGAAAAAGTTTCCTAAATCAGGAACTTTTTTCGCACGATCCCGATTGACACTAAGACAGATTATCATAACTGTTGCAAACTGGATAATAAAAGCTGTAACCTTTACAAATGTTACTGAAGCTTCGGCACTTCAATAGTATGAATACGGTAGAGATACATGTGCAATAAAAATGACAAGCTTGCACCAGTTGTTTGGAGGAATCGGGAGAGTAGTAGAAATCGACGAAACAGTTGACAGAAAACTAAAATTCAATAGAGGAAGAAGTGTTAAATAAGACTGGGTAGATAGCACTTCCTTAAATATACTTGAAAAATCCTCGGTATATATGATAGACCATCTCAAAAAGGACACTTCCAGCACAAAAGAAACCGATAAGCTACAACTACAATGCCAATTATACGAGAGTATATGCAGTCGGATAGCATAGCATACACAAATAACTGGAGAGCACACTGATGCCTATCTAGACAAGGTTACGTGGATCATTTTGTGAACCCAACCACGGGAGTACATATCAATAATATAGAAGCAATTTGGTCGAGTCTAAAAGAACGTTTGCGGCCTTGTCATGGCTCCAGAGGTCGACTATAATGGAATCCCATAAATGAGTTCCCGAATCGTATACATTACGACTTCATAATTGCAGAGCCTTTTTCTAACCTTAAAAAATTTTTAAACCATATTAAAAAGTTGTATTCACTCTAGTCATTTTCTTATTTTGTGCAATAGATTTTTATTCTATTCCGACTGTTTTCTGACTGGCTGAAATTCCTTAAAGTCACTTATGATTAGTTCAAAGGTCGTCCATAAATTATAGTCTCGCCGCTAATCTTGCTAGATAGCTATAAACAAATACTACTTCCACATCGAAGAAAAATGATCAATCGGCTTACCTGATATCGAACTGAAGAGAAACCATTACCAACAAATTTTCTTGACGGTATAGGTGACCTCAATTCTGTAGTTGGTGTAGTTGGCATGCTATTCCAAAAGAATTTTTCATCATGATTATTATCTGTGTGACCTGTTCGATTAGGCAACCGATAGAAATGTGTATGTGCAACTTCCATTAGCATAAACGCTGACGCGAAACCACCACTTTTCAAAATACCAGTAGAATAGGGTAACCAACTACTGTTGCTCAATGGATTTGTAATATTTGACGATGGTGATTTATCTCTAGCAATCCGATCATAATGATTTGTAGTTGGAAATACAATATCCGGTCGAAAACTATATTCTAAACCATTGATCATTTGTTTAAGCGTCCATAAAATTGCTTTATATTGGTCCCATTGTTGAATAGGCTAACAAAAGACAGAATTTAAAAGAAACAAACCAAATAAATAAAACTTTAAAAAATGACAAATCGAACACATTGATCACGAGTTAATCTCAAGAACCACAGTTTTCAGTCATAGTGAATTCTATGAGCTGGAAGAATTAATTATTGTCTTATACAATATGATGGACACAGACCTTCCAATAGATGTCACTCCACCAACGATCGAAGAAGTCAAGATGGCCATCAGACAAATCAAAAGTGGGAAGGCGGCAGGACCTGACAATATACCAGCAGAAGCACTGAAGTCAGACATTGAAATAACTGCAAACATGCTTCACCTTCTATTCAAAAAGATTTGGGAAGAGGAACAAGTGCCAACGGACTGGAAAGAAGGATATCTCATCAAGATACCAAAAAAAGGAGATCTGAGCCAATGTGAGAACTACAGAGGCATCAGTTTGTTATCAGTACCAGGAAAAGTTTTCAACAGAGTGCTGCTGAATCGGATGAAAGACGCAGTAGACGCCGAACTTAGGGATCATCAGGCTGGATTCCGTAAGGATCGGTCGTGCACAGACCAGATTGCGACACTATGGACCATCGTTGAACAATCAGTTGAGTGGAACTCATCACTATACGTCAACTTCATCGACTATGAGAAGGCGTTTGACAGCGTGGATAGGAGAACATTGTGGAAACTTCTTCGACACTATGGAGTTCCTCAGAAGATCGTCAAAATTATCCAAAACTCATACGACGGATTACAGTGCAAAGTGGTGCATGGAGGACAGCTGACAGATGCATTTCCAGTAAGGACCGGAGTCAGACAAGGCTGTCTACTCTCCCCATTTCTCTTCCTTCTAGTGATTGACTGGATTATGACGAATTCGACATCCGAAGGGAAATACGGAATACAATGGACAGCTCAGAATCAATTAGATGATTTGGACTTCGCAGATGACCTAGCCCTCCTCTCTCATACACACGACCAAATGCAGACGAAGACAGCAAATGTAGCAGCAGCCTCCGCATCGAAAGGCCTCCACATTCACAAAGGAAAAAGCAAGATTCTCAAATGCAACACGGAGAACACCAACCCAATCACACTTGATGGCGAAACTCTGGAAGAGGTGGAAACATTCAAGTACCTGGGGAGCATCGTTGATAAACAAGGAGGATCGGATGCAGATGTAAAGGCAAGGATTGGCAGAGCAAGGGCAGCATTTCTACAATTGCAGAACATATGGAACTCAAAACAACTCTCAACCAATTTCAAGGTCAGAATCTTTAATACGAACGTCAAGACAGTCCTACTGTATGGAGCTGAAACGTGGAGAACTACTACGGCCATCATCAGGAAGGTACAAGTATTTATAAACAGTTGTCTACGCAAAATACTCAACATCCATTGGCCGGATACTATCAGCAACAGCGTTTTATGGGAGAGGACAAACCAGCTTCCAGCTGAAGAGGAAATAAGGAAAAGACGTTGGAAGTGGATCGGACATACATTAAGGAAATCACCAATGTGCATCACGACTCAATCCCTAACTTGGAATCCGGAAGGGAAGCGGAAAAGAGGAAGGCCAAAGAACACACTACGCCGGGAAATAGAAGCCGATATGAAAAGGCTGAATAGTAACTGGAAAGAACTGGAAAGGAAGGCTCAGGACAGAGTTGGATGGAGAATGCTGGTGAGCGGCCTATGCTCCTCGACGAGGGGTAACAGGCGTAAGTAAGTAAGTAAGTAACAATATGATGGGCACTTTATTCAAATGGGAGTGATAATTTGGAGTTAGTTATCCCAAAAGTGTCAATTCAGTTCGTCATGATAAGTATGTTTATGGGTGGTTATCTTCTTAAACAACATGCACCTCTTCAATTCAATTGACTATTTTTTGAGTTTGGCTTCCAATAGTTTGATTAGTTGACGTGGTCTGTAAAAATTGATACATCCAATCTGTAGCAACATTTCTATGGATTGAATACCCTTTAGAGACTTTTACAGTCTGAAGGTTTTCTAAATACACAATTGTAACACTTTTTCTGTCTAATTCATATCCATAGTTCTCTGCATTGATTGATATAGTTGATGATATATCAGTCAGTCAGTTACAACGTAGAACTTCGTACGTACGTACACCAGCTCGAGTTGCCATACCACATTAACACTGAGATCCAGTTGTCGATTCAAATCCCATAGTGGTAGAAGTAGTAAGAGTATAAGCATTATGTAAAAGATTAGGGTTTGAAGATGTTATTCAAGGATTATCATCCAATGAAATAAATTTGGAGAGAGAAAAAAGATAGAGGCATGAAGAATTCAGAAGATTGGAATTTGGTAGAACACAAAGACTGAATGCCCCTTCGCCATTGCAAACAATTTTGAGCCATGTCATTAAAGGTCTCTAATCACCGGTTACTATCATTTCGCGAATCCCAACCAGGTAGTCTACATCTACCAACATGGCTCAGTCCAATTGTCAGTGACTTCATGGATTTCTGCCACATTTTGGTCTGGCCGCCCCCAGCTCTCTTCTAACCTACTCTTACGCCATAAAACATTGCATGTCGGGACTGTCGGTGGTTGGGAATACGTAGCACATGTCCCAGCCATCTCAACTGATGAAGTTTCACTACACTAATCGATTTGCCATCCTTACCTAGCACCCGGAACGAAGTGCTGTGCAGTAAACCCGTCCTTTGGTTGCTAGACGGATATCTCGCCTACGCCATAAATAACGCAAGTTGGAGAAAGCTAGACAAGCCTTATTTAATACATAACCTATGCTTGTGTGCATCTCAGAAGAAGGGAATCCCACATCCTACTATATAGTTCCTCGTACAATATAACACGTAAATTATACCTCTGTTTTATCCTTCGATCTGAATAAAATAGAATGAAGGGATTGTATTAGTTTGTAAAGAATATTGATTAGAATGGTTTGTAAAATATCTGATTGGTTTAAGACGACTTTCTTAGGTCGATATTCCTGGCACACTTAGATCGAGTTGTAGAAATAGCTACTGACACGTAATAATAGATAAACAAAAAGTCAGTTATTTTAATTCTTTTTTTCTCCAGTAAGAGTACCATTGCAAGATGTAGCTCTTTCAAATGTTTGTAAACAACTTATTTAGTATACTATTGATTAGTTGCTATTGCAATTACATTTTCTAAATACTTGTATCTTTGTTCATATCAATACATTCAAAAATGGCATTTTGATGTCAGAAACGTCTCTCTGTACTATTGTTTCCTCCAAATGGGGATAGTCCGCTCTCATATGGCCACGTATATATAGTCTCTTCCATGGAAGTCCTACTCACTGCCCATTCATGGCGGGGGTATTGTTCACGGAATTGTGAGGACCAAAAAGCGAATGTCCGACTCTTTAACCGGGGTTGGTGGACACGGAAAGTCCACCTCGGGGAGTTGGATAACCCTGATTCCAAATCAATCGTGCACATGGGCTCTAGTATCCTGAGGGAACAAATTGCATATGAATCAATCGTTGGTCACCGGCTACCATGGGACTGCATCTTGTGTCGTTGCTCCAGTGCCTTGTGGGTCAGACTTTAGGTCAAAAGCTTCGAGTGTGGTCCCATAAGAAAACCACCTGTTTCATTTTGGGCACCCGCTCAATATCACAGCTGTCACACGAATCAAATGAGATTTGTGTGGGGCATATGTATTTGGTTCTTTCTTGTACCAATATTTATGTGTTCAAATAAATAAACAAATAAATTAGTACTTTTGTTATGGTCAAAGATGTTATTGAAAAACTTATGAACATTTTCAAGAGTATATCGATTCTGACAAAAAGAAATATGTACAGCAATTATCGATTTCAATTATAACTCATAGTTAACCGATTCAGAAACATAACTATTAACAAATCTTCTTTAATGCTTTAAAATAAAATGTTAATGCTAAAATTAAATTTTAGAAAGGGTTTTTTTTTGGATATTATAGTAATTTAATAGTTGAGTTCATGAGTCAATGCTGGACGGTGGTTCAATTTCGTAGATTAGTTGATGTTATACATTAACGCCATTGGATGCCAACTCAGAGGTATAGAGGTTAAGCGTTCGTGCGCAAAACAGAAAGGTCCTGGATTCGAATCTCATGAGGAGGGATAGTGGATGCGCACTGCCACTGAGGAGTCCCACAATAGGACGAAACGGCAATCCAGTGCTTTCAGGTTGACTCATGAACTTAACTATTAAGATTAAATTTCACAATCAAATAAAAAATTTTTAAATATGAATGAAAGGTATCACATTTACCACATCATTAATATGCAATTGATTCGGTAGGATATCTTTTGATAGATTATCATTGATACGAGCAATTAATAAATTACGATAATTTTCATCTTGTAATAATGTGTTAATTTGATTACGTGAAAATATATTTGGTATTCGACCTTGTTTAATAGACTTTGATAAATCAATGATTGTACGCTCATTTTCCAATCTGAATAAACAAGTAATAAGAAAAGAGTAAATGATGATTCGGTGGAAAAGCGTTAAACATATTTTTTTTATTTTGATGAGGGTTTATTCACTGAGCTGGATGGTTTTAGTCGTGGAGCTTCCATCGTACTTCTGAACGACATCATCAGCACACTTCTACCCACCTGAGCTACAAATCTTCACCATATTTTTTATTGAATAATAAAAATGAGTTTGATGTAGTGTTTGTGGATTCAGTTCACTTGCCTAAGATGAAAACAATCCTACTCTCATTTTGAGAAAATATGGATAGTAGCTTACAGTGGAATGCTATTTCTGACTCGTCAGTTGAATGTATCTGTATCCCAGAGTGAATGTTCACTCCAGGACTCGAACACCGTACCTTTGTAGTGAAAAAGAATATGAGTGGGAACAATCAAAAGTACGATAGCACAACATTACAGAATATCTCAATAAAATATGAGAACCATATAGTGAACAGTTAATTTGCAAATTAACAATCAATTGTCTCAATTTGACTGTTTCTTCTGCAAATATCCGTCCATAGTTTCCGATTATAATTGTTCATGCATTTTCGTACCGATTGCGTGCCGTTCTCGTTCTCTCCTTATCGATCTTCTACTGAAATACATTCAATGCCTGACCATCACTATATATTACTTATGTGAATATCAGTAACCCACCACACACTTTCTGCTTCTATCTCGAAATCATTCAAAATAGTCAACATTGAGCTCAAAATCATTGCACTGAAGTCTGCACCATTAAAATATTCAAGTCCAATTTCTTATGGGCTAAAAGGCATAGTGTTATTAATCTTGGATTGTTTCTAGTTGCGTAATATCTTAATTTATGACTTAGTTCAATAAGAGTGTGAACTTTTTAACCGGTAAAAGTTGAAAATTTTCTTATAAATGAAATCAATAAAAGTACCGACTAATTGATGGGTGATAGATAATATTATGTTATCTAGCTGATCGACTCGCTACGGTTACCAGAAACCCACGTCGTGTAAATTTATTCCAGTTTTCAGCTATTCACAATGTTAGTTCGTTCTTTCTATGTACTAAACGCTGGGGACTTGGATAAATAAGTAATTGTATGAGGTTACCATGGGGTTGTATATATTGTTAAATTTCAGTGAATTCACGAATCGTTTAAAGTTAGATACCTACTAAAAATCTGGAAGTACTAGACCAGTCCTCTCGTCGTAGTTTTAGACTCCTCAGCAGTCCGCATCCACAATCCTAAAACGGAAAAACGAACCTATGACTCTCGTCCGTGATTTAAATGGAATTGTATAAGATCTTACATTGTTTAGCGCCATTTTTCATGAGAGAGTTTTGTGACGAGAAGACACAAAATTTTAATGTTTTTAATGTTTATCTCAATGAAACTGAAGCATTTCAAAAGGAACTTAAACATTTGTTACTGGATAAACACGCCAAAAATTAAGAAGATACTGACCGTTTTTTATGCATTTGTAGAGCAGAAAGTGGAACATCTTTGAATGTCAAACTTCGAAGACGGTCTATAAAGATTGACAAAAGACAAAAAAGATATATGAACTATATGAATTATCGCTGATCTAATTATTTAGCTGAACATTCCTCAACTAGTTCGGGGGTCATAAGTACATATATTTTATTACTAACCTCTGTAAACCGCCCAATCCACCAAGATAGATACATAAGATCTATTTATAAGAAACAAATACTTCCCAATTAATGTTAGCCTAATATTCAATCAACACTGTTGGCAATTTATGAATAAAAAGCATCCAACTATAGATATACAATATGAATGTCCCACGCTTTAACCGGGCCAATGGACACGGAAAGTCCACCTAGGGGAGTTGGAAAACCCTGATTCCAAACCAATGGTGCACATGGGCTCCAGTATCCAGAGGGAACCAATTGTTGGTGACTGGCTACCATGGGACTGCATCACGATGCTTCACTACCTTGTGGATCAGACATTTAGGTCAAAGGCTCTGGGTGTGACCCTCTAAGAAAACCACTGCTTCGGTTTGGGCACCCGGGCAGTATCATAGCCCTCACACAAATCAAATGAGGTTTGTGTGGCGCATATATATCTGGTACCCCTTTGTACCAATATTTATGTGTTTAAATAAAATAAAATATAAAAGGACCATATACTTTAGAAACTTAGGAAAAATATGTGATGAGCTCAAATAATACATCCGAATTTTAGGTATACTTGGACTGTAACTAATAGGTGAGATCCCGGATGTGCGTCCCCATCTGTTTAGAATTCATCCGATAGATATTACTAAATTCTTATGTTGATATTCACACTGAGGACTTAAACTTAACAACTGTCGCACTACACGTAAAAGCGTTATTCATCAAACTACTGAATAGTGATTAGTTTTTGTGAACACCACTATACCTATTATTCACAACTGACTGACTGACTTGTTCTTGACAATATCTTGTTCAATGAAATTATCACATGGGTTTCAATTTATCAGAAGAAACAAACAAATGAAAATCCTACAAAAAAACTAGTCCTTTGAAGAATAAAAGACATAACTAACTTGATTTTAACAAATCACCAAATAACAAAGTAACAGAAGTATCCCAACTTAAATTATCATCTCCAAAAGTACTTGATGTTACTGTAGAGCTTTTTTTCGAATCATTACCATTGCCGACAAAAATAGAGGAGGACAAACGAGATACAAGTTGTAATGTATCGTTTGTTGAACGTCTCGATGAAACTGACGATGATCTAGTTAGAGTACCACTTTCTGAATTGGGCACTCCTAAAGACTGTATTCCAGTGTTCTATAAATAAAAAGGGGGTAAAAACTTTTATAGAACTGCTTAGATAAAGATATCATATTAAAACAAGGACCGGAAAGGAAAATTAACAAATTGTCTTGGTTTATGGAACCACATAAATAAGAATACAAAATATTGATGGCTTTTTAAATACAATTAACGCGACTTAGTTAATAGGTTCAGATTCAATTTAATTTCAGTGATTTGCATTATCCTGTCGTTAGTAATGTGAACTATTATTATTAAATCAAAATCCACACCCATCTGGAATCTGTAGCTAAGTGCATAACGCATTAAAGCTCGATGCGATTAATGCTGATTATGAGTCCCGAAGTAAACGTTAACTCTGGCATGTAGGCAAATCCGGCTGATGATTACCAAACAGGACGAAATGTGCGTCTCAGATTTCACCACCAGCCACATTCCATCTATTCGACATTTATAAAGCCGAAGAGTTACCAGTTAGTTGAAAAAATACGTCATGTTTTTGAAACTGTATTAATCATTTCAAATCTACCTATCATACAATCGATATACATTGTCGTCAGAAGCGAGAGTAGCTTCAAAACTACTTAAATTTGAAGTAGTGAAATGAATTACAAAAACGAAGAATTTGATACTGATTAAGTGTGAAATCCATTCAAACAAAAAACAACATCGACATCAAAACACACATAAATCAAAATTTGATCAATGTATAATTCATTATTTTAAGTTTTATTTGCCAGATCAGTAACTATGGGAAGTTTGATTTTCATCAAGTTTAAGAATTCAGTACAACAGTATCACTGATAATCTAAGATTGTACTTCAAACAGCTGTGTATAAAGAAACTATTCCTTTATCGTACAATCTCAGATTCGGCGTGTCTCTGGTGGAGTAACTTGGTGGTCAAGGTGTTCGACTACAAGTTATATTTATTTAATCACACAAATATTGATACGAAGGAGCACCAGATATATATGCTCCTCACAAATCTCATTTGATTTATATGAGAGCTGTGATACTTCCCAGGTGCCCAGACCGAAACAGGTGGTTTTCTTAGGGGGCCACCCCCGAAGCCTTTGACCTAAAGATCTAACCCACAAGGCAATGGAGCATTGTGAGGAGATGCAGTCTCATGGTAGCCAGTCACCAACAATTGGTTCCCTCAGGATACTGGAGCCCATGTGCACCATTGGTTTGTAATCAGGGTATTCCAACTCCCATAGGTGACCATCAAGCCGGTTAAAGTGCCGAATATTCTCTTTTCGTCATCTCAATTTCGTGAACAACACCTGTGGCACGAGAAGACAGTGAGTAGGACTTCCCTGGTGGATGCTACATACGTGTGGCCATGTGAGAGTATTTTGAGAAGGAGAACGGACTCTCCTCACTCTCGGCCATACCAGGGCATTTGAGGACAGTTACTAAGTCACATGCTCCATTCACTTCAGTCTTAGCAACCGAATAGTATTATTAGCCCTTATACTTAGAGTGCTGTATATATCCAAGTACCTGATGGATGAGTTAAATAATTCACTTATTTTTTTCTTACATAACCTACCCCTATTCAAACAGAGACAAAATAAAGAATGGCACAAATAACTAACTGGGATACACAACTACTAAAAAGTATCTGAATACTTTCTTTTTTATAAAAAAAAGGTGATAATATCCTACCGTATTTGTCAGTGGTTCATTGATATTCCTTTTAATTTGTCCACTGGAATCAGACGTTATCACAGTTGATTGACTATATATAAAGAAATCAATAATAAATAATAATAGTAACAATAACAGTTAAAAATAAACAAATCAGAATTATTGGAGGGGATAATAAACATTGAAAAATAGAAGTAATAACTAAAATTAATTTCGTGGATTGGTTGAAGTTAGACATTAACACCGTTAGATGCCGGTCCAGTGGTTAAGTGTTCGCGCGCGAAACTGATAAATCCTGGGTTTGAATCTCTTGAGGCGAGATCGTGGATGCGCACTGCTGAGGAGTTATATAATAGGACAAAACGGCCGTTCAGTGCTTCCAGGTTTTCCATGGTTGTCTAGCTTCAACTGATTCATGATCTCAACTATTAAAATTGGCATTAACATGTTTATTTATATAATGATACAATATAACTATATAACATCAAAATAAGTCAACCATTCAGTTAATCTAACAGTCCTAATAAATATAGAATCTGACCAAAATGTGAGTTAGTCAGAGTTGTTAAACTGTATTAGCAAAACAAGATGAATGGTAAAGGATTCGAAATAATTGTAGTACTAATAATAGTAAGAGAGACTATACATTGAAAATATGGTGAGAGAAGAAAGGAATGAAAAGTTATGTATGAAGGAATACCGTAACACCGGATCCACAAAAAAATAAAGAGTGAATGTATCCATACCTCAACCAGGTAGTTTATATCAACTATTACTCAGTCACAACATAGAACCTGGTAGGTAAGTACATCGATTCAAGTTGTCATACCCAATTAGCATCGAGAGATGAAGTCGTCAGGTCAGATCCCAGAACAGCAGAGTTAATAACATTATCAGTAGTAATAAGAAAGATACGACTAAAAAACAAATTAATGAAATAGAAACAGGAAAAAGTTATGAGAAATTAAGAATCTCAGGATTTGGGGGAAGACAAAGTATGGATGCGCCTGCAACATTATAAACGATTTCAAGCTATGTCATCCAAAGTCTCTAATCATTCATTACGATAATCACGTCGACCCCAACCAGGTAGTTTATACCTATTAACATGACTATATCCAATTTTCAGTGACTTCATGAATCGATACTATGTTCGTTTTACACCCCGCCAGTCTTATTCCAAGTTACTTTCACACGCGACATCGTCCGTTGTTACAGGTGGTGGTTGGACATAAGCAACACATATCCCATGTACCAACTAATAAATCTCAGAAAACCGGCCAATAATTTTATGAAATGATACCGCAATTTTTAAAAAACTGTTTCTTCCAAAAACACAGAACATCATTTATTTATCAATATCTTCAACTTATTGAATAACTAACTAGCCTAGAAAACTATTTCTACCAATTACATAACTTGGTAACGATTTCCGGACTTCTATAGTTGAAATCATGAGTCAATTGAAGCTAGATTACCATGGAAAACCTGAAAGCACTGGATGGCCTTTTCGTTTTATTGTGGGACTCCTCAGCAGTGAGCATCCACGCGAGCGCTTAACCATTAGACCACTGAGCCGGCACCCCCCCATGCTTCAATTTTATCACAAAGAAATGACTTCAACCAACCTAAAAATCATACACATGCCGCTTCTAATCTAACTTTGATCCCTTAACTTGATCAATGTTATCGCAAGCTGAAATCATATAACAATATAAAGCACTTGAACGATACAATCAATCATTTATGAATCTACACTAATACATTGCATTGAAAATCAGTATTCATAATTATTAACGTCAAGTTTACAAACTATTAACAACAAACTTAATACATTATAGATTTGAGTTAAGAATACATAACACGAATCACATGTATACACCTTTATATGATTCTCTTTTAAAAAGTGTCTATCTGTATGCCAGAAAGAAAAATCGAATAATAAAGTATAAGATACGGAGAGAAAAATCATGTTTTGACAAGCAATTATTTTCTAATGTATGCCATCAACCAACATCGTAGACAATTAAAAAGCTATAAGTAATATTGTGGTGTGGTCGGTCTACTCATATTCATATAAGTAGTATATAGTGACGGGCAGACATAGAATGTATTTTGGTAGAAGATCGATAAGGAAAGAACAGGAATGAAGTGTAATCGGTACGAAAATGCATGAACAATGAAATCAGAGAAGACGGACTGATATTTGCAGAAGGAACAGTGAAGATTGAGATAATTGATTGATATTTTGCAAATTAACTGTTCATTGTATGGTTATCAGAATTTAGTGAGATAGTCGGTAATTTTGTGCTTAAATACATTCGATTGTCCCAACTAGTGTTCTTGTTCACTACAGTATACTATGTTATTTATTTGACAGTATCAAAATTCTCCAAGATTAATCAGGCAGGGTAATTTATCTAATACTATGCTGTTATAATGAATGTTCAAACTCCGTTCACAACCATCTTCTTTATGTGCTTCAATATGCCAGCAAATACGCATGATCAAACGATCGAGAAAATTAGGATCCATGATCGAGAATGCAAGTAATATCGTTTGTGAGTTCTAGGGATAGCTGTCAAACAGCAAGGTTCCATTATGTATGAAGGTCCAATTTGGTGTAATGAATATACATATCAACAGTTATCATCACTGGATTGGACCCTGTTTGTACTGTCGCTAATTTTGAAAATGAAGCTAACCACAAACCGTACTGTCAAAGATCGGTTTATACTCGAAGATAAATATCATCCAGCGAAACTGTTGTAGTAGAATCATGGAAATGAAAAGCCATGAAAGAACTGAAGAAGGAATATGTTTGGAAATAAAGTATTTCTTTAAAAAACAGGTTTATTAGCTGTAGTAAGCCTCATGGACGTAGCATTATTTGAGGAAGCTGAGACTAAGTGGTAAATGAGTGATCCAGTTGCATCACACTTTATAAAATTGTTAAGCTGCTACTCACATCCTAAACGATCCCTGACTCGGATACTTTTTATTCTTGAATATTCTGTGGAAACTTTAATGACTGAACGAAATTGATCTTATTTGTGTTCTTACGTGAAGTGTATTTTACGGGCGAACCGTTTGCATATTACCCGAGACATCACCATCGATGCAAAAACATAAAAAAACTGTATCTGTGGAAAAAATATTCACCATTATATTCAAAGCTCGTCTCATGATATATTTTTTCATTTAAAATAATGTAGAATAATATACGCTAAACTTACCTCCAGAAATTCGACAATGTACTGTCCTGAAAAAATGTGGGAAAGATAAATAAAACTCATATTTTAAACCACTTTTCACTTCAAAAACGTTTAATTCAGAATGAATAGCAAAAATGTAATCGGATAGGGAATCGAGAATCATCAAAGATTGCTAGGCCCTAGATAATGCAAATTGATTAATCGTTGAGTGGAGACCAATGTCATGTATCCGAATAAATCCACATCGAGAGCCTGTTTGGTCAAAAGGTACTAAGAGAGTTAATCATCTAACTTTATCTTACATTTGTGAGGATTAAACCTTAAGGTCAAAGGCTCTGTGGATGAATATTTAGGAAATAAATCTCGTTTGTATTAGAAACTTAATCAGTAATATATCTTTCATGTCTTAGTAATAGCCAGCACTGAAATACATAATTCAATCAACAGTATGATAAATAAACGAATACCAAATTAGATTGATGTTAGATAAAAGAGATCTAAACATAGAATAGCCGAATCATCAATTTATGAAAATAGTTAATTATGGGTCACTTTTACAAGCCAATTTTTATTTAGCCATGGATCACATAGCACTATTTGTATGAAGATGTCAAATGAGACTGTAAGAAGTGTATGAAACGGGAGTTTTACATCATTGCAGCTTTCAAATTTCAAAATTTTACGTTTTGTAAACGCTTGGATTGATACTATATTTCATTTTCAATGTAATTAATTTATTTTATTTAACCTAAAGGCTTGATCCGCAAAACAGTGGATCATCGTGAGGAGATGCAGTCTCATGGTAGCCAGTCACCAACAATTGGTTCATACGTCATTTGTTCCCTCAGGATACTGGAGCCCATGTGCACCATTGGTTTGGAATCAGAGTTTTCCAACCTCACTAGGTGGACCCTCCGTGTCCACCAACCCGGTCAAAGCGCCGGATATTCGCTTTCCGTCCTTCCAATTTCGTAAACAACACCCCTGCCAGGAGAAGGCAGTGAGTAGGACTTCTCTGGCAGAGGCTATATGCGCGTGGTCATGTGAGAGCATTTGGAGAGGGAGAACGGACTGCCCCCACTCTCGGCCGTACCAGGGCATTTGGGGGCAATATATACAGCTTCATGGGCACAATATAGTTACATGAGAGCTAGTGATACTATGCGACTACCCAAGGCCGAATACATGAAGCGTGGATTTTACTGATTAGAAGAAAGATGAGTGCTCTAACCAATAAACCACTGAAAGATCTAAATATCTTCTCATCAAAAAAATTAAAAGCAATCGAACAAATCCCCACGAAATAAGATAAAGAACCAAAGATTAATGTCGTTAAGTTTACATGCATTTACCAACTTACGGCATTTTCCAATGATAGACTAGGACGTGTACTAGATTTATTGCTATAAACTAATTCTGTTGATGGAGTATAAAATTCAGCTAGACAATCTGGCAATGGTTTATTCGCTTGAACTAAAATACAATCTTCAATCTCTTTCGATATTTTACCATTTGACACAATGGTTTCATAAGAATGGTTTGAGTCAGAGTCGTCGGAATAGGTTTTAAACATACCTGAGAGGAAAAAAACACAAGAAATTGTTTTTAAAAAGATTCGGCGAACCGCAATATTTCTGTGACGAAAATTACTTTCAATAATATTGCTTCAAAGGCCTTAACTCGGAAATATGAATAGCAAATCATAGGAAGAATTTTGTCTTATAAGAGCCCCTACGATTCAGATAAATGGAGTGTATCTTACAACTTAAAACACACACACAGAAAGTATAGCACGAAGCAAATTTCATTAAACTCTGTAAACTCGTAGATACAGGAGTACTACAAGGCAGACTGTCAAAAAGTCAGAACATAACTGCGATTATTACTTTAAAATTTCCAGAATAAACAAAAACATTCTGTGAAGTTAATAAACTGAAATTGAGTTTCGTAAAAGCATAGCATATTCAGTCAGTTGGTCGAGTGTAATTTTTGTAGAGTTTTGTTCTCTGAAGTTTATGCTGATGATGTCGTTGAGAATATCGATGAGAGCTGCACGACCAAACCATCCATCTCAGACAACAAAACTCCACTGAAAACATCCAACTGAGCTACAAATCTTCTCCACCAGGTCAAGTGTAAAGTACAACCTGATACACATGTATATCACTTTCAGTCAACAAACCACCTTAGAACAAAGACAAATTTATCAAAAAAAATCTCAGAGTAGGAAAAGTAGTAACATTGTCAGTAATGGTGGAAGAATTAAGTATACAAAAAGCGAACACTGTATAAAATTTCAGGAATTAGGTCATACGAAAGAATGCACATGAACCTCAATTGTAAGCGATGCTGAGCCATGTTACCCGAAATCTCAAGCCAACGGTTACAAAAATCACGCGGATCCTACAACTAGAAATTTTAAACCTATTAACATTGTCTTAATCCAATTGTCGGTGACGTCACAGAATGATGCCACATCTTGATTTTACAGCTCATAGTGTTCTTCTGACGTCTTACACCAGACATCACCACCTCAATTGATGAAGATTCATCACCTCATCAACTGGTTTGGCATCATTATATAGTACCCTTAGCCCGACCCACCCATCGCTCACTCAGTGGACTCAAAATACATGTGCCATGGTTGTCTAGCTTAAATTGACTCATGAATTCAACTATAAAATCACTAAGATCATCACAAAACCCCCTCTCATAATAATAATATGCTCACTAGTGACTGACTTCAAGGGATGTTTCCTTGATTTCTAGTGAGAAGCAGTGACCAGTGGAGTTCAACCACGTCTGTTGTGAAATAACAACTCACTGGAGACAATTGGTGTACGGTCGCTCAAACTTCGTAGATTGGTTGAAAGTAAACATTAACACCGTCGGGATGCCATCTCAGTGGTCTAGAGGGTAGGTGCTCGTGCTCAAGACCGATAGGTCTTGGGTTCAAATCGCGCGGAGCAGGATCGTGGATGCGCACTGCTGAGGAGTCTCACAATAGGACGAGAAGGCCTTAAAGCAGTGCTTCCAGGTTTTCCATGGTTGTCTAGCTTAAATTGACTCATGAATTCAACTATAAAATTACTAAGATCTCCACACAAAACCCCTACTGATAAGATAATAATCAGTTGTTGTTATTTTTGCCTGAGCAGTTATTAATCAAATACAATGTGTATAATTTTGCTTGATCTATCGATGAATCAATACCTGATTCGTTAATTCAATAAGTAAATTGTAATCAAAACGAATCAAGACAATGATTACATCATCATTTAAGCATGGGTTTAGCAATTTCTTTTTAAATCAAGTCAATTTTATTAATCGATATATCAGTTGTTTATCAATGATTATTATTGGGATAAATCTTTTTTTCTCTCGATGAAACATGGAGAATGTTGGTTGAAGGCCTCCACAAGGGATAACAGGCGTAAGTAAGTACTGCAGTAAGAAAGAAAGAAGGATAGAACTGGAGTCTGCCAGTGTATCACAACTCCCTGGTTGGGATTCTATAAATGATGTAATTCAATGACTTCAGACGTTATCAAACATAAGTTAATGAAGATTCTAATGAAGTTTTCATTAACATTTTTCATATAAGTCAAAGCAACTTGTTTCACTGAAAGAAGTTTATATAACGGAATAATATAATGTCATTATTTAAGCCAATATATTAAGTGTCAACTCATTATGAACTTCGGCAAAGATGACAGGTATGAACTTAGTTCAGTATGAAGTTTTAAGGTCTATGTTTTTTGTTTCGATTCAGTACAGTCAGTCAGTCAGTCAGCTACAAAGTAGGACCAGGCACATTTATACATCGGTCCAAGTTGCCATACCTCATTAACACAACTAGATCAACACCGGATTCATAGAAATAGTTAATTTAGTGGTGGTAATATATAAAAGATAGGTTGTATATAAGGATATAATATAGGAAGGAAGAAAGTTATGAAGCAATTTCAATCTCAAGGTTTAAGGGAAGATAAAGAGTGTATACACCTACGCCATTGTGATCGATTCTGAGCCATATCACACAGAGTCTCCAACCATTGGTTACGATAGTCGCACGGACTCCAACCAAGTAGTCTGCATCTGCCAACATGGTTCATACTAGAAGTTAGTGACTTCAAGCTCTGATGCCACGTTTTGGTTTGACCGTCCCTAAATCTCTTCCAACCATCCACAATACTAGTCAGCATAGCGCGTCGTGGTAATCGGTGTTCAGGCATACGTAACATGTCGATTTAGTACAAATTTTATTTAATAATCCACAAGTGTGAACTTTTGTTTACCTTGACATATTCTCTGTAACGATTCGGGTAAACTAAATTTAGTGTTGTTTTGTACAGTAGCACTATGTATTTTCCTCTACATGAGATACTATTGAATATAAAAATGAGTACATACATAAAAAGACTGGAATCAGTACAGAGACGATTTACATTTCGTACTCTTGGACCTGATAGTGTCTTGACATATAATTCGAGGTGTAGTAAACTAGGGCTTGACCCTTTATGGAGGAGGAGACTCAAACTTAACCTTATCTTCTTTTTCAAAATACTTAACAAACTCTCCTTCACATCCAGTCAGGCGATTCAATATGCTAAGGCTTCACATTACGACATTCGTAACTCCTTGTCTTTAGCGAAACAAACATATTCTAGGTCTTCTCTCTATATGAATTACTTTACCTGTAAGTTTTCTAGACTCTGGAATAATTTACCCCAAACTATCCGTATGTTAAACTCTCTCCCATTGTTTGTTCGCTCAATTAATGCTTTTTGCTCCTCTGAAAATGCATTAAATGCTCTAGCGCCTGCAAGTGTATCTTACTCCACAAGTGAGATTATAGGAACTTTAAATGTTTAACCTCTTACTTGCTATCATTGTTTTGTTGTTCCGTGCTCTTTGCTTTAATCTTACTTTCTCTAGTTGTAGATAATTAATAATAACTCGCTCTGGCACTGGTAATAACCTTACAGAATAATGTTGGTCAATCATCAGGCTATCCACTTAATAAAAAAATGACAAGTTCCCTGGTGTTGCATTGGCTTGCCGTGATATATGCCATATTTAAACTGTTTATCAATTACTAAACCAGCAAACATAAAACCTTCTTATAATTCATGTTTGTTCTCTACATTAAATGTTGATTTTTATAACAATCTGATCATGCCTGTAAACTGGTGTGAATTCTGTAAATATTATTTTCAGAATATATTATTATTATTATTTTGGTCTAATAACGATATGATATTGGGTCTTTTGGGGGGATGTATTTTTGGAGAATCAATATACGTTCATTGCACCAATTTTATACTCTCGCTTAGCGTTGTAGGAAACGAAGTGATCCTTGTTTCAAAGTGCAAGTAGTAGGATCCAGGAATTGAAGTGGTTCCCGATTGTCAAATAAAAGCAGTAAGATTGCGGACTCAACAGAGTTCATATAAACATAACAGCGACGATAAACACTAGACAAAACAAATTCTTTCTAAGTTATACTTTCAACTGAGCTATATCTCTTAACGTATACCATTTAGGCTCATTTAGTTTATGTTGTTGGCACTCTACTTCCAACTTTTATATATCTTCACAAAGCTATCCCTTTTGTTTTTATAGCCCCTGTTTTTGGTAGTCAGTAATTGCATCAAAATTCCATAAATCATAAACCAGATATCTTTTATTTATTTAAACACATAAATATTGATACAAAAGAGCACCAGATATATATGCACCACACAAATATCATTTGATTTGTGTTAGGGCTGTGATACTGTCCAGCTGCCCAAGCTGAAACAGGTGGTTTTTTTAGGGGACCACACCCGGAGACTTTGACCTAAAGGTGTGATCCATAAAGGTAGTGGAGCATCGTGAGGAGATGCAGTCTCATGGTAGTCGGTGACCAACCATTGATTCATACGCCATTGGTTCCTTCAGGATACAGAAGACCATGTGCACCATTGGTTTGGAATCAGGGTTTTCCAACTCCCCTAGGTGGACTCGCCACGTCCACCAATACGGTCAAAGCGCCGGATATTCGCTTTTCGTCCTCCCAATGTTGTAAACAACACCCCCGCCACGAGAAGGTAGCGAGTAGGACTTCCCTGACAGAGGCTATATACGCGTGGCCATGTGAGAGCATTTCGAGAGGGAGAGCTGACTCTCCTCACTCTCGGCCGTACCAGGGCATTTGGGGGACCTGGTATCTTAAAATTTACTGAAGAAGCATAACATTAAAAATGTCAAAAACAATAGACTAACCAATATAATCATCAGTTTGCGCATCATTCGATAAACTATTCGTATCATTATTTATACTATCTGCATCAATCTCTGTATTTATATCACCAGAACATTGTCTATTTATGATAGATTTTGCTAATTCAAAAGCTTGAAATAACATTGACAGGTTAGAATTTGATGAAGATAACTTGGGAGATGATTGATTTGTTTTGGATGTATTAGTAGGTGTAGCATTCGTATAATCGATTAATTTGTCCCAACAATCAAAATCAACTGGTTGTAATTGATTTTTATACCAGTATAATTTATCACCAATCAATTCTGTGGAATAAACTCCTGAACAGATACGTTGATAAGCTTCATTCAGTGCACATATTGAAGATTCAGCAAAATATTCTACAGCCTAGAATAATATACGAAAAAGGATGGACAATTTATATGAAATTAGATGTGAACTATTATTGGATACCAATTGTGTAGTCTTTAAAAAGTAATGTGTTTATCACGAGACTTGTAGGTGGTACTTGGTCTAATCCCTGATAGGGTCGTTGTTGATGATCACTATTAAGTTTTATGCTAAGAATCAAAATTGTATTTCAGTATCTAGGGCATCCGAATTTCAGCAGGTAGATTTCAGGTTTGTTTTCATTCACAATAGATTCTTGATGATGATGTCTGTCCAATGGATCCGGAGTATCTTTGGTAGGCAAATGTTTAAAAATAACTGTAGCTTCTTAATGATGGTTGTAGTAGTTCTCTAGGTTTCAGCTCCGTATAATAGATCTGTTTAGACATGTGTGCTTAAAATGATGAATTTGATGTTGACTGACAGTTATTTTGAGTTAAATATAATCTCAAATTATGGGAATGTTACCGTTGCTGTGCTAATCCTTGCCTTCACATCTGCATTAGATCTCTCTCGTTTATCAATGATACTGCCCAAGTGTGTAAAAGTCTTAACCTCTTCTAAAGCTTCATCATCAAGTGTGATTTGGTTGGTGATGGCTTTTTTCCTTGTTTATGTTGAGGCCTACTGTTGCAGATAATGCTGCTAAACTAGCTGCCTACATTTGGATTTGTTTCTGTATATAAGACGTCAAGTGAGAAATCCAAACTGTAAATCTGCATCCATCCGAGAAGATCGAATCCATCGACAAAGTTAAACCAATTGCTGTGGACCATATATACTGATGCGAGGTCTTAAAGTCAAGCCATCCTTGAACTTGCTTTAATATACTGCTCTGTTAGCCAGTGTAGCGAGTCATGTTAGGAGGAGGCTAGGGTACAAAGGATCTGAAACAACAAACGGAGTCTCTTAAGTAAAAAGTCTGACGAAAGCTGTTGTAGTTTGATCGAGTGATTGTACATGTTCAAGTTAATGTCATAAATATACGGAGTGGTAGTATGACGCATGAAACAGTTACATAGTTGCTGTTTAAATATATTCAAAAAGAAAATATATGTATATACATTTGTATAATGGTACGTACCTGAGTTTTCGCAAGCATGCTAGTAAACAAACATGGCTTTGGACGAGACTTCATAAAACTTTCATACTGAAATGCAACAACTGGTCGAGGAAACAATCGTAAAGTACGTATATGATTAGTAAATCCACCTAGAATGTTATTTGTATTGAAGAAGAGAATCTATAAAACAGAGGGAAATAATGAATAATGATATTAACCAAACGATACTGGGTTGTCATAAGTCAGTTAAGTTATAATCAAAACAAACTACAATAAGACAAACATACGTCAACCTAAGTTCTTATAATTATGTCAGCAAGACGATATGAAATAACTAAGCTGAATATTAAAAGAGTTGAAATAACTATAATAGGAATGATAGGCAAACTATGTATTGATACTATATTTCGAGAGAGAATGAAAAAGTATGAGGGATGGAATACTGCGCGAGTAGCCAAACAGAAGAAGGCGGCTTTATTAGGAGGCCACTCTCCAAGCCTTTGACGTACAGGTCGAATCCACAAGGCAGTGGAGCAATGTCACAAGTTTCAGTCCCATGGTAGTCAGTGACCAACAATACGTTTATACCCCATTTGTTTCCTTAGGATCCTGGATTCCATGAGCAACAGTGATTTGGAATCAGGGTTTTCCAACTCCCCTGGGTGGATCCTCCATACCCACCAACCCGGGTAAAGTGTCAGATATTCGCTTTTCGTCATCCCAATTTCATAAACAACACCCCACCTTGAGAAGAAAGTGAGTAGGACTTCCCTGTCGGTGATTGTATAAGCGTGACCATGTGAGAGTATTTCGAGAGAGAGTTGACTCTTGCTACTCTCAACCGTATCGAGGCATTTGGGGACTATTGAAAAAGTGCGTATGAAGGAATATTGAGACTCAAGATCTAAGATGTAAAAGTTGAGTGTATCTACGTCACTGTGACCTATTCTAACCTATATCATCTAACGTTTCCAACCAATGATAACGATAATAGCATAGAGCCCTACCAGGTGGTGTCTGTACCTATCAACATCCCTCAGATTAAGAAACAGTAATTCCATAGACTGACTCAACATTTCGGTTACAATCTACTCCTACTAAAGTCAACAATAGCATTACCATTCAAATTGTATTAGACCAGTATTTTTTGTACTTAAACGCTTAATAATGACTTCTTAGCCGCTTCCTAAATCCTCAGAGTTTCCCTACATTCCGGCCCCAAAAAGTGGAGAAAAGGTTCGAAGTAAGAACAAATGCTTTACTTCACAGTCTTCTTATATGCATAAAACAAGAGTATTTACAGGTTTATTTATAACCTTGATCCTGTGTAAACTTTTGGAAGCATGTAAAACCTAATAACAACGAAAGTAACCATCTAATCAGAGTATGGTACATGACCTATTGATTTCGAGAAGTCGAAAATGGATGCATAATAAACCAAGTGCTTTCATCCTTTTCTTGAACATTGAAAAATCTATCGAGGAACTAATCGGGGGATGCCAAAAAAGATCTTCACAAAGCCATACTCAAGGAAAACCCACACTTATTATTATAGTTAATATTATTACCAGTTCCGCTTACCATAGATACACGTATACCGACATCAACAGAATCTTTTGTAAGTGTATACAATAAAGGATCAAATTTCGATAGCTCTAATGCAGTTGCACGTGCTACAGAAACAGACCAATGTTTCGAAGAGTCCTCTAAATCCAAATCAATATGAGGTGAATTTGAAAATTCGTGAAGTAACTGATAAATCCATTGTAAAAAAAAAGAATTTGAAAATAAGGTTACAACATGAATAGTTTGAAATTGACAACGAAATTTATGTTTAAGACAGTTTTATTGAGAAGTCAGTCACAACGTAGAACTTCGTACGTACACCAGCTCGAGTTGCCATACCACATTAGCACAGAGATGCAGTTGTCAATTCAAATCCCAAAGTGGTAGAAGTAGTAAAAGTATAAGCATTATGTGAAAGATAATAGTTATGTTATTCAAGGAGTATAATCCAATGAAATAAATTCGGAAAGAGAAAAAGATAAAGACATGAAGAATTCAGAAGATTAGAATTTGGCAGAACACAAACAGTGGATGCACCTTCACCATTGCAAACGATCTTGAGCCATATCATTCAAGGTATCTAACAATCGGTTGTTATCATCTCGCAAATCCCAACCAAGTAGTCTACACCTACCAACATGGCTCAGTCCAATTGTCAATGACTTCATTAAATTTACGCCACGTTTTAAATTGGCCACCCCTAGTTTTCTCTCAACCTACTACACCATGAAACATTGCACGTCGGGACTGTCGGTGGTTGGGCATACGTAACACGTGTCCCAGCCATCCCAAATGATGAAGTTTCACTACTTCATCAATCGATTTACCATCCTTACCTAGCACCCGTTTCCTAACAACTGCATTACTTACCCGGTGGTCCCAGGATATACGAGCAATGTTTCTAAGACACCTATGATTGAATACTAGTAGCCTACAAATATCCTCTACTCTTATCGGCCATGTTTCACTGTCATTAAGTATGACGGAACGAACTTCTGCACAGTAAACCCGTCGTTTGGTTGCTAGACGGATATCTCGCCTACGCTATAAATGACGCAAGTTGGAGAAAGCTAGACGAGCCTTCTGTATCCGCGCTTAGATTTCGTCACACTTCTCTTTATTGAGGAGAAATGAACATAGGCTTCATCTATTTCACTAGTCGTTAACAAGTCGCAACTGTAACTGATTACTGATGTTTCAACTGGGAGATCAGTCGGTTCCATATCAAATAACAACAACGGAAAAGATACAACCTCTTAAATTAATAATATTACGTAACCGATTTATATTTTTAATCCCAGTTTTCTAAATAGTAAAGAGTATTTAGATGAAGTAGCTCCTACAGTGAAACTGACATACACCCTTTTTATCTGAGAATTCAGTCAATGATGTATTTGTTGAAGCAGATAAATGACGATCTTCAATTGCATTTTTGTGTAATTTAACTTATTTCTGTAATAAGGTTAGTAATAACTCACTCTTTATTAGTTATGTATCAAAATCTTCAGAACTATTCATCAATACATGTATAGTGTTCGCTGATTAATCAAGAATTGAATTTTGTGTATACACAACAGAAACATCACAAAAACAATCTAAAAAAACAGTCCACAAACTAGGAGATGCTTACTTCCTAACCCGCTTTCAAGCTGAACTCAGAACAAAAGCAGAAAGCACAAACACAACAGGAGGTCTACTACCTCCAATGTTAATTCAATGAAGAAAAATCAAAGAGTATTGATGTCACTTACCAGTAACTTTGATGTGATATATGCTTCCAGAGAAAAGGTGAAATCGATAATAACTATAAGTGCTCGACCAATCCCCGACAGTTGCTGCTACCTTGACGTGGTGGTCGAGCTTGCCTATCGTGATGAACCAATCGAGCTATACTGGCTAGAACAATTGTTCCTTAAGGTCCTACCATGCCAGGCAGGTCAGTTGAAGAGCGGTAAGACTAAAAGCAGCAAACCCCAGGTCCGAAGGCAAAGTCGTACTGCTGACTGTACAGAGTTGTGACAGCAGTAAGGTGTTTCCTTCAGACAACCAGCATGACAGAGATGCTGCCTTCCCACAAGGAGGCGTGGCGTTAGAAAAGGTCGACCCTAAAAATGCACACCTCGCTTTATCCCACGGATTTCCGTCTCCGATGGTAAGGTCTTGTGAAGAACGGGGCTAACACGTCAAAAATCCCCCACAAAAAGGTTGTGCGTGACAGGCCTCAAGCAGTTGTCCCTTGGGCAATGCGATCACGCTCTCAGGTAATTAAGACCACTTCTGACCCGATTTCCTTTTCAGGTACCTCTAGAAGAACCCTTCCACGGTGTGGGCAACCGGGAAGTGATAACTGCCCTCATACCTCTAACAGCACTCAAGATCACTAGGGCTCGATCAATCGGGTTAGGGAAGAACATAAATGTATTAGCTTCTAGCTTTCACTGGAAACTTTTCAAACGCATTAATTGACTAAAAGTGCTTTAAGTTATTAGCTTCTTATGAATAAATGTTTTATCCAATTCTGACCCCAAAATTTGATCATTAATAAGGAGGGTCTAATAACAGACGCTACTAACGTATTGAGAAGAAACTAAGCAAATTACTCAGTCCTAATACATGTTGACTGTAAGCATTGATGGTTAAAAACAGAAACAATAAACTGTTGGTTGCAAAGCTCTCATAGATTCAATAACACTTTGTCAATGATTTTCAGCAAAAAAACTATTTACATATAAAGTGTAAATGAGTTCTATTATGGGACTCCTCAGCAGTGTGCATCCACGATCCCGAACTCGCGAGATTCGAACTTAGGCCCTACCAGTCTCGCATGCTAACGCTTAACCTCTAGAGCCATTGAGTCGATATCCCACGGTGTTAATGTCTAACTTCAACCAATCCACGAAGTTTGAGCGACCGTACACCAATTGTCTTCAGTGAGTTGTTATTTCACAACAGACGTGGTTGAACTCCACTGGTCACTGCTTCCCACTAGAACTCCAGGACATGTATCTCGAAGTCAGTCACTAGTGAGCATATGGTTATAATCAGAAGGGGTTTTGTGAAGATTTCAGGTTTTCCATGGTGGTCTAGCTTCAATTGACTCATGATTTCAACTTTGAAAAAATAATGAAACCTTCTGATTGTAAATAAATTCACAGTAAAAGAAGGAAAGGAAATTCAATACACTTACTTTTCTTAAATGGCTAATTAGAATGTTACTTTCTATTTCAGGCAATTCTGGTATTTCATCAACCACCATAGGATAAGATAGCTGAAATGGAATATGAAGAAAAAAATGTTGACCATTCTCTCATTAGTCATAATGGTTGAAACTTGTAAATTTTGTTTTATCAACTGGTTTAATTTTTATTTATTTATTTGAATACATAAATATTGGTACAAGGAAGCACCAAATATATATGCACCACACAAATCTCATTTCATTTGTGTGAGGGCTATGATACTGCCCGGGTGCCCAAACTGAAACAGGTGGTTCTCTTAGGGGACCACACCCGGAGACTTTGACCTGAAGGTCTGATCGATAAGGTAGTGGAGCATTGTGAGGAGATGCAGTCTCATGGTAGCTAGTGACCAACGATTGATTCATACGCCATTGATTCCTTCAGGATACAGAAGACCATGTGCACCATTGGTTTGGAATCAGGGTTTTCCAACTCCCCTAGGTGGACTCGCCACGTCCACCAATACGGTCAAAGCGCCGGATATTCGCTTTTCGTCCTCTCACTTTCGTAAACAACACTCCCACCACGAGAAGACAGTGAATAGGACTTCCCTGACAGAGGCTATATACGCGTGGCCATGTGAGAGCATTTCGAGAGGGAGAGCTGACTCTCCTCACTCTCGGCCGTACCAGGGCATTTTGGGGCTTTGATTATGATTAAATGTTTATCCGGTTATAGACCAATTCCAGGTCTTTGTTGTTACCATTAATCAACGAGAATAATAATAAGTCTTAATCGATGGTTAACCATTTCAAAGTAAACACTAAGAAGTGATCATAGGATCAGAGAGAAAAAACTCAAACTAGTAATAGACACTGATCCTTTTTAGATCACTTTAACAAAAATACCACAAGAAAATAGATATAGAGATAGATTTTTTTCTACATTGGAAATTACACAAATAAAGATCCAGAAACAAAAAACAAATAAAAAAGATTAAATTGAATTCAACATACTTCACCAGTATCTAAATCAGCCAACCAAACATCTTTAGGCATACGAAAAATTTTCCGTGCAGTATAAAACGTTGTAGGAACACCAATTAAATAAGGTGTAGGCGCTAATAAAAGCTAAATTATTTTCATATTGAAAAAAGGAGAAGAGAAATAAGGGGAAAGCGATTAATTGACTGAAATATATCTAGATAATAATAATAATAATAATAATAATAATAATAATAATAATAATAATAATAATAATAATAATAATAATTAATAGCTTTATTCATTATTATATTATTTGGTACAAAATCGAATTCTCAGCATAAAGTATTTCAACATGTTTACGTTTCTTATTTCTTTGTTGCTCCTGATGATAAACATTGAGTGATCGCCAGTTAGATGTCAGCAGTTCAGTCAATCGACATATGAATAATGTATATTCTTTTTGCTGCATGTTCCCAGCAAACACGACATCTCTGATTAGGCCTTTTGTAACTTTTACAGCGAAAGGTTGTATAGTTTTCAGAAACGCACCGGAATAGGTTGTGTGCTTAATAGCCATAATGATGTATTAAAACAACCAATATTGGATAACTTGTCCAAATATATAGATGACGGGAAACAGGTAGCCCAGATGTTTAAGCAGGCCGCCCGATAAATACCTTCTAATATAGGAATAGGTAATCATTAAGTAAAAGGCAATTTAGTATGATAGTTCAAATGCATTACAGACCATAAAATCATCGCAAACTGATTGAAGTTGAGATTATATTGTTGGACGCTGACCCATCGATTTGAATGACTAACTGTCCGCAGCGAAACCTGAGGGTATTCACTCGATCTCGAGAGTGGTCGTAGATGAGCACGGACGTCAGATGATCCCAGGTTTCAATAGTAATCCAAATTAAATCATGTGGTTTCAAAAGTGATTTAATCTGATTGTTTAAGTAGCCTATTGAGATTATTTCTGGTTTTGACAAAAAATAAGTAGATCAGAAGGGGTTTGGTGGAGATTTCAGTATTTTCATAGTTGAAATCATGAGTCAATTGAAGCTAGACCACCATGGAAAAACTGGAAGCACTGGACAGCCGTTTCGTCCTCAGCATCCACGATCCCGAACTCACGAGATTCGAACCTAGGACCTACCAGACTCGCGCCAGAGCACTTAACTGCAGAGTCCCATAAGAGGATGAAATGGCCGTCCAGTGCTTCCAGGTTTTCCATGGTGGTCTAGCTTCAATTGACTCATGATTTTAACTATGAAAAAAATAAGTAGACAAACTATCATTCACTCACTGTTTAGAATTTAGTTTTCTGTAAAATCGGAAGGTATAAATGATAAGGGTAAGATTATGGATTATTTCACTGTGAAAATCTTTTAGCATAACACTTGATCGTATTCGGATGATTTCAATATGATAAACGAGTACACTCTGACAATTTCTGTTATGCATCCATTCAGTATGATATTTTCTGAATGAGCTATTCAGTTAGGTACTAATTATTTGAACTGAGAAGAAAATATGTATCTAAGTGGTATTTTCATCCAATATATATTCTTCACAGTTGTAGAGTAGCCTTTGTCTTCTTAATAGTTGCGAGCAGGTCAAGAGATTTTCAGGCATAGTATTGAACAGTGATTTTTAGCGTTTTTTAGCAAGTTGGTTTTCTACGGGATGGTGTCGCTAACCCTATGCCTAACCCTCCTCCTTTACCCGGGCTTGGGACCGGGAGTAGCCCCCGGAGGAGCTACAGGCGGAAGAAGCGCTGGAAGTGGATAGGACATACATTGAGGAAGTCACCAAACTGTGTCACAAGACAAGCCCTCAAATGGAATCCTGACGGCAAAAGGAGGAGAGGAAGACCGAAGAACAAATTAAGCCGAGAAATGGAGATAGATATGAGAAGAATGAATAAAAACTGGATAGGACTAGAAAGGAAGGCTCAGGATAGAGTGGGTTGGAGAATGCTGGTCAGCGGCCTATGCTCCATTGGGAGTAACAGGCGTAAGCAAAGTAAGTAAGTAATTGAACAATGATTGTGTAGCATCCACTTAGTGCAATTATTCTTGTTTTCACTAACTCTCGCCTATTACCAAGTTGGTATTTTTGAGCTGCGTGGAGATCTAGGTTAAAATAATGGTGAAAAGGATAGGATTTCAACCCATGGAAGGAAAAAACCCAGTTTATGACAATAGCTATTAGGTAACACCACATTCCAATGTTAAATATCGAGAGGTGATTGAAAACTACGGAATATGTGAACTTTGTTAGAAATCACTCTTGCTAGTCACTTTCGAACCCGTGTGATGCAACAGTTGAAGGTTGAGCGCTTCAACCATTCAATATCACCACCTAATTTTTTTAATGCATTTAGAATCAAGACGTAGATTGCTTAAATTGGACCACCTAAAAATGACAGTACCATTATTATCCAGGTCAAGTGATTTGTATCAAATACCAACTACTAATACACGTTATTTAAACGTGAAACTGCCTTAAGATATTGGATGGTATTCTGAATAGAGGTGGAGATTGGAGACGGTATGCATGAGTCAGTAGCATAATGATGGGAATAAGTTACAATACGATCAGTCAAAGGATTAAATGTAACTACAGATGACTTCTATATCACTGGGGATGCGTACACAATGAACCTTTTTTTAAGTCTTCCCACGTTTCTTAAGGTATCGAAGTAGGAGACTAAGCATGGTTGTGTCACTCAAGGACAATCTGAGAGATATTTGGTTGTTCAGAGGTTTGTTTGGACTCCATAGTCCTACGAAAGGGATTGCAATTTTGTACTGAAAAAGGGGTATGCCAAGTTATTACACAGTTTAGATTTGCATTATAATAATGCGGTAAAATTCATCTATCATCTTTCTCAAAATCTCTAATAAGGTTCTTTAAAATTTGTAACCATTTCCTACTTTATCAATTATATATCACTCTCTTTCTCGTTCAATATGTTGATACGAAGTGTAGAACAACTTGAACCGATACACATTCGTACCAGGTTTTCTGTTCTTTATAGTTTAAGAGAATATGGATGAGAGTATGCACCGAATAGGAACTTTTAATTCAATAACAATAAAATTCTTTTAAATCAAAGTAACACTTTCAATCCAATATACACACTAACCTGTTCTGCATCAGGCATACATGCAGGTAATAGGGGAATAACTGGAAACATGTATTGAAGTGGATAGAGTAATGCAACCAATGATAAAATTGTTAAAGATAATTTGTTATAATCAGATGATTGTAAAACCACCTAGATAAGAAAAGAAGACAAAAAATGTTAGAACAGCTTAACATACAAGAGTTCTATGCATGTATTTATTGAATTATGATAGTCAATAATGCTGGTGGGTGGCCTATGCTCCTCCACGAGAGGTAACAGGCGTAAGTAAGTAAGTAAGTAATGATAGTCAATATTTGTTTATAATCAAGCTTCTTTTATTCTCATTTGGCTGAATTGAACTGACTAGTCTACCTAAGGATATGAGTTTATCATGGTTCAGATATCCGTTTAATATTTTTTATTCATTTATTAAGTACAAGTTATTATATCATTACTAACCTATCATATTAACACTGACACTATTAATAGTACTAATTCTTATCTCATTGTAATGATATGGTGTAGAGAATTGAGGCGATGGATATTTGTGTCAGACTTTATACATTGATTATGACAGGCTAACTGAGATAGTGTTACCATTCGTCTATAGAGGCCATAATAAGTGACGAAGGGTTCAGACCTGGAGCCTACTAGTTGAAGGTTGAGTGTTTTAACTAAGATTTCCATCACTTCCTATTTGTAAATCAGAAAAACCACTTTTTTTCCAATTATATAAAAATCGTTTAATTTGCAGATTACGAACTGATTTCATCCAAAAAAATACCAACATAGAAAACTAAGAAGTATCGAACAACTGTTTTGTCATAGATTGAGGCTATTTGATGGTGTACACTTAGGATTCCTAAGTTGAAATTCAATTTATGTTAATCCACAAACTATCCAATAGAAAAATAATGGTATCCTAGCAGATAATCAACTTTGAGATGGATTTCTTTGAATTTCCAGTAGAAAGTCAAGATTTTTGTGCAGTATCAACGATATCAAAACTGATAAAAGTTATTCACTGATGATATTGGTTGATCCTCATGCTACATTGTAAAATCGACTAAAATTGCAATATTCGGATCACTAGATGTTAACGAAGCAGCAGATTAGTTGTACTGCGAACAAGATTTTATTATATCAATTTACATTCAATGTGAGATCATAGAAGAATACTGATTGAGGAATTCTCTACTCCTTCCCTGGCTTTAATTCATTTCATTACGTAAAGAAAATCTTTATTAAATCAGGAAAAATTACCACAAGAAACACTACTGTAGTGAACAAAGACTCAGTATTGTTAACCAACTTATTATTCAGTCCAAAATTAGTGTCTCTGTATATTATAAAAACCATACATTAAATACTTCATTTACACATCTTCCATTAGTTGTCAGTTACATTCTTCATGATTCTTCCAATTCCTTTTTATTTCCCTTCCATTTTTCTCAGTTCAATCTTTTCAGTCCTCTTTTGATAGGCATTTGACTTTTAACTGATATTACACACTACTTATATCTGTCAACATAAGTAGCATGCACCACACTACTATTTATACGATTATCTACTTACAGTATAATGACATTAGTTGAGTAAAATATTTGATTCGTTCAGATATGTTGTTAACACAGTATTAGATAGGATTATATTAGATAAGAAAAATTATTTATTCATTCAATTATTGTATTGAGTTTAGGCTTCACAATTAAGTCAATACGAAATTATATAGCTGAATAGCTAGTGATGATACACAATTATATTTTTATGGCACAGTTAAGTGAAAACACTCAGATAATTTATAAGCAAAGATAGGTAGTGGCTAGCAGTGCTATCCAGTTTGACGCGCGTTTCGTACTACTCGAGACCCGTCAGTTGGGTGTACCTGCATCTCAGAGTTGATGTTCACTCTAGGACTCGAACCCAGTACCGTTCGCTTCAAATTTCATCGCGTTATCCAGGATGAAACACGTGTCGTGGATTTCACTGCTAGCCACTATCCATCTGTACTTATAAAGCTTGTGACTTAAGGCAATATCAAGACAGTTTGCACATATGCAAACAAGAGATTGATCAATTGCAGTCCTAAACAACCATGAGAAGACACAAGCAAACAATATCAAGTAAACTCAGATAATTATTATGAAATTCACACACCCTATTGATTACAATACTTCATAACTTAATTATGGTAAGATAACTGTGCTTGATTTAAATCTTGACACGAAGCTAATTTTCTACTATACTGTATTATCTTAATATGATTTTAGAAAAAACAATTAACATATATTATATAGTTGAAATCATGAGTCAATTGAAACTAGATCACCATGGAAAACCTGGAAGTACTGGACGACCGTTTCGTCTTATTGTGAGACTCCTCAGCAGTGCACATCCACGATCCCGCTTCTAGCTTCAATTGACTCATGATTTCAACCATATAAAATTACTGAAATCTTCACAAAAACCCCTTCTGATAATAATCATATGCTCACTAGTGACTGGATTCAAGAGGTATTTCTTAGAGTTCTAGTGAGAAACAGTGTCTAGTAAAGTTGAATCAGGTTGCAAGATAGTAACTCACTGAAGACAATGGTGGACGGTGGTGCAATTTCGTGGATTACTTGAAGTTAGACATTAACACCGTTGGATGTAGGCTCAGTGGTCTAGTGGTTAAGCGCTCGCGCGCGTGAGACTGATAGATCCTGGGTTCGAATCTCACGAGGCGGGATCGTGGACGCACACCACTGAGGAGTCCCACAATAGGACGAAACGGTCGTCCAATGCTTCCAGGTTTTCCATGGTAGGACTATATAAAATTACTAAAATCTCTACAAAACCCCCCTTCTAATTAACATAGATATATATTGGGTTTACATAAACCATGAAAGTACAAAACTTAAATACTCAATCAATTAGAATTATAGGCATTTTAATTAGAAATCAGTAGTTTAATAATTATACAGAAATAACAATTTATTTTATATACAGTACTGTAAATGAGCCAGAAATACACCATGTAACGTATTAATAAAGAGTGTCATGTGTTTGTTCTGTTTGTTTTTCCAATGAACTCCTTTTTATTAAAATACTTTCTATTACAGTATGATATGTACATTATTAACATGTATGTATGTTAATTATAATAGTCAATAGACAGTAATAATAATGTGATTATAAGCATGAAATGACAATGATCTAAGGAAATCCTTGAATTATAACTCAAAACCATGTGATGAAATTAGGTGTATAGACTTTACCATTGAAGTGATTGTTAAATATATTAGGAATTAGTATTTTGATGTGGGTTTGTTCTCTGAGCTGGATGGTTTGGTTCTGGAGCTTTCATCGTCCTCCTGAACGACAACATTAGTACAAACTTCGGGTAGAAGTGAAGAATTGAAAGAATTAGTATCAACAGATCATTAAGTAATAGTAAAAGTTTGGATGAGTAATTTCAATTATATATAAAAGGGTAATTTTGCATTGATTTTCAGGAGAACCAAACACTATCCAGACTTTCACATGACAACTCAAACAGTACAGCTTAATGCCGTTGAACAGGATTGAGCCAGACACCGCCCTCTGGCTTAACCTGAGCAATACACCTCGATCACATTTCGCAGGACAACCAGACACTATATGGGCTTCAATGTTACAATCTGAATAGTACAGTTCAATTCTGTGGTGCAACCATACAGGTACCAAGCACCTTGGTGGACCATTCGCATCATTCATATACACATTCACATCATATGTATAATTATTCCGATCAGTGATCATGTAAATCAATTATGCGCAGGATGAACAAGCCAAAGTTGACCCATTCCGCTTACATGACAGTCAAACTCATTACTGTTAGAAATGGCGACATGCCTTACAATGTTCCAATGATAATGGCCCTTGAGAACACTGAAAAGCAACCACCAGTATGAATGAAATCGGTTAACCAGCAAACTAACTTTCCACATGAACAGTCAGCAAAACCTCCCAAAATAATGCTGAACCATCCACAATGTCAATGGCGAATCTCCAGTCTCACATAAGACCTTCAGCTCTACATGGCAATATAGTTCATACTGCATACAACACATATGTAGGGTAGTAAGCGAAATAACCCAGCCTGAAGCGTTAAGGCATAAAGAACGCTTAAAACCCATTGTCTGGTGTCGGAATACTAATACAAGACCACTAAGATCATTTTTATCGAATTTGCAAAATTTTCATTTTTCCGACTTTCCAGACACTTGAGTTAAATCTAAATCAACATATATACGCATAAAAGTCTATTATTAACAAATGATTTGCATTAGGTATACTAACACTTCTATGAACTGTTGTGTTGAGTGTGGAGTTGAATGACTGTCAATATTAACATTAAAATACTTAGGTGATGTGAAAATAAAATCTATTCATTTCTATCAGGTTCAGAAAACTGACTAATTTGACCGCCCCCAAATGCTCTGCTATGGCCGAGAGTGAGGAGAGTCCGCTCTCACTCTTGAAATGCTCTCATATGGCCACGCGTATATAGCCTCTGTCAGGGAAGTCCTATTCACTGCCTTCTCGTGACAGGAGTGTTGTTTAAGCCCATCTTATCACATTCCGAGGACATTTGAAACATAGTAACAGGTGGTCAATGACTAAAAAGATTCGTATTTTCCCGTTGTTAATATCCAGGGATGATTTTGATCAGTTCTTGTTGGTATATGGATTCATTGAACGGATAGCTCGATATTGTCAGCATTTCAAAGAAGCTTACATGCTATTAGTCTTGAATGACAACAACACAAAGTATAACACCTCATAATTGACAATAAATATCATACATGATAAGAAAGTTAGTGGACACAGTGACTTTGCCGTAGCCTAGTGGATAACGGCTTAGCATTTGAAACAATATATGCTAGGTTTGTGTCTCAGCGGGAATATAAATATAGTCCTAAAGATTATGGAATAGTTGTCTATGATCTTACCGGTACTTCATATATGAAAAATATTGGACAGAAAGAACCTATACGTGTCATCAACATAGGGGCTGACATGAATGCACATCAGTTTAAGTCCATTTAATATGCATAATATCATATCAACGAAACGGTTTAAAAAACAATCACGTTACTATACTGTCAAATTATAGTCTTAATCAAGATCCAATGGAGACAAAATCAATACAGTAAACAAAACTATATCAATGAAAACAATCTATCAACGATCGATAAATATGAAGGTGGGAGCTAAACAAGTTGGACTAAAATGTAAAATCATTCAACAGGTCAGTCAGTCAGTCAGCTACAACGTAGGACCAGGCAAACATATGCATCGGTCCAAGATGCCATACCTCGGTAACACAACAAAATGAACACCGAATTCATAAAAGTAGTTAATTTAGTGCTGGTAGTGTGTAAAAGATAGATTGGAAGATAGTTATAGTTAGGAAGGAAGAAAGTTATAAAGCAATTTTAATCTCAAGGTTTAAGGGAATATAAAGAGTGTATACCTATGCCATTGTGATCGATTCTGAGCCAGGTCACCTAGAGTCTCCAACCATTGGTTACGATGACCACGTGGACTGAAATGTAAAATCAATCAATAGGTAGCAGGGCTAAATCCCATCTAATATACTGCTGTTTGATCAGTCGGTTATCATTAGCGATTAATATACCTCAAGTGTTCAGTTAAACACCCACTACAGAAATGTCTAAAATATTTAGGTGATGTGAAAATAAAATCTATTCATTTCTATCAGGTTCAGAAAACTGACTAATTTGAACGCCCCCAAATGCCCTGGTACAGCCGAGAGTGGGGAGAGTCAGCTCTCCCTCTCGAAATGCTCTCACATGGCCAGCGAATATATAGCCTTTGTCACAAAAGTCCTACTCACTGCCTTCTCGTGCCACAGGTGTTGTTTACGAAATTGAGAGGACGAAAAGCGAATATCACGAGCTTTAACCGGGTTGGTGCACACAGTGAGTCCACCTAGGGGAGCTGGAAAACCCTGATTCCAAACCAATGGTGCACATGGGCTTCAGGATCCTGATGGAACAAATGGCTTATGAACCAACTGTTGGCTACCGGCTACCATGGGACTGCATCTCCTCACCATGCTCCACGACCTTGTGGATCAGACCTTTAGGTCAAAGGCTTGGGGTGTGGCCCCCTAAGAAGACCACCTGCTTCAGTCTGGACACCTGGGCAGTATCACAGCCCTAACACAAATCGAATGAGATTTGTGAGGCGCATATGTATCTGGTGCTTCCTTGTACCAATATTTATGTGTTTAAATAAATAAAATAAACAGAAATGTATAATCTAGTCAACTAATTATTCAAAAAAATAATCTCTATTCATACACACACAAAAAGGATCTTCATTATCGAAAGTCAAGTAAACTTACTTTTTGTTCCAATAGAAGACACATAATTAAACGAAACGTTTTCCTGATACCCATAATTTCAAAAGGCAAATTCACAGGAAAATCAATCAAAGGAAGACGTGATTGATCAGGAAGAGCAAAACACAAAGGTGAACCTAAGGTTTGCGGTTGAACTGAAAGCTAAATGATTACAAAAGGAAACAAAATGTAGATGTTTGTAATCAATCAGTACAGAAAGAAACTATGAAGATTTATGTTAGTTTAACAAAGAAATAGATTGTATCACTTAAAAGTTAATCACAAACCACTGAATAGAGCTGACTAATTTATGCAACTAAGAAAAATGTTGAACTAGTCAATACTAATGAGCTCATGCAACTACGTATTTTATCGGACGGACTGAATCAAACATGATCTATGATGATGACTGACCAGTAACAAGAAACATAACTAACACCTTTAGAATAACACGATTGTCAACATTTCAATAGCTAAAAATAGTGAACTAAACCATCTTTGATGATCTTCCTGACTGAAATTATCGATCAGGAGCGACAACCATTACTTATGGAAAAGATGATAGAGTGATAATGATATGTTAACTAAACGTCAAAGACAAAAACAAATACGCCAAGTGTAACTTTCTCAGAAGAGATAGCATTAATCATCACTTTAAACAATACTATGTATTTAGTACAATATAAAATTTTATTAGATAGTTGTAAGAATTATTTCTCAGTTTATAATAAGCTATCTTTATCATTTCAAATCTCAGATATCACTCTTAATTCATTCATTTACAATGATTAAACACTTAACTTCCTACTGTTGGAATACATAAATGGTGAACATGAGTTTCAAGACCTAGAGAACAAACGGTATATGAACCTATCCTTGGTCACACGTTACCATAAGATAGCATCCTAACTTTGTTCCACTATCATGTGAATTAGACTTCTAGGTCAAAAGCTTGAGGAGTAGGGTTACTAAGAAAATCGCCTGCTTCGGTCTGGATGCACTTCACTATGATCGATTATAGCCTGTCGTAAAATTGATCTTAATTGTCGCCCTTGCTACCAATGGTTGGTGCATAACACTGAATGACATTTACTGTGATTCCCTCCTTCTTTATATTGAAGGACGCTATGATGATCCTGGATTCACGAGGTCCCCATTCTATAAGCGCTTGACGTGCTTTTTTAAACATGAGTGCTAGTCGTTGTGTGTGCGAAGCATTTTCTTCTTCGTCACCACAGCACAACAGCATCTCTTTTGTACTCAACCTTTTCTGTTCAGCTTGGGTTCAACGGATTTCACTTATTCCGAGAACCATCAAGTTGTATCTCCCCATTTCCGTAGCTATTTTGTTGGTCGTCCCGGTCATCCACATTGTCCGGACATTCCATGTACCCATAAAAACTGTTCCTGTGGTTGTTAGAGGTAGCATCGACCTCGTGACATCCGAAGAATATCAGCTTTCACCATGAGGCTTCATAATTCTTTATTCAACTTGGTGGGCAGAATTTAAATAGTTTATTCTGGTCAGTGTCTTTTTAGCAAGATTGTTTTCTACATGGTGGGATTGCCAACCCCGTGCCCATCCCTCCTCCTTTACTCGGGCTTGGGACCAGCAGTAGCCCTATAAAAACTATAGGCGGATTTCAAGACCAATTCAACGTTAGTAACCTCAGTTATTGTACTTAGAACCTTACATAGTCAAATATAATTCGTCTCTGTTATTTTTATTCACATACATTTGTACTATTATAATTATTGTTATTATTATTATTACTATTGGTTAAACATCATTATTATTTATTTATTATTTATTTAAACACATATATATTGGTACAAAAGGGCACCAGGTACATATGCGCCACACAAAATAATGAAAGTAGGTAGATAAAGGATGAAAAGATAAGGCGGACTGAAATGTACAACCAGAAGATTCTTTCAGTTAGGAAAGTTAGAACCATTCTTTATGTAGAAAGTAAAAGAAGGTTGCAGCAGGATCGCCACTGGCTTCTATTCTGAGCCATATCCGATAACGTCTCTAGCCACTGTGTTGCACTATCTCTCGGACCCCAACCAGGGAGTCGTGAAGGACCAACGGAAGCTAGCCCTTTGCAGCTCTCTTTCATGCCACGACACCATGTCATACACTGACCTCCTCTCCGCTTTCTCCAACCAGTCCCAGGGTCGGCAAATAATGCACGACGCGGAAGTCTCTGGGACGACATTCGTAAAACATGTCCGAGCCACCGAAGTCGGTGTTTCAAGATGGTGACACCAATTGAATTATTGTCTCTGCGCCCGAACACACGATGCCGAACCTCTGCATTACTAACATGGTGTTGCCACTGGATGTCAGCAATCCTTCGGAGACAACGATGATCGAACACAGAGAGACGTCTAACATCCTCAACTCGGAGAGGCCAGGTTTCACAAGCATAGAGCAAAACTGCTCTCACCGACGCGTTGTAGATCCGACCTTTTACAGCCAGACTAACATCACGAAGGCGCCAAAGATGGCCCAGATTGGCATAAGCCGCTCTGGCTTTCATTATACGTGCATCAATCTCATCACTCACGCCACCACCAGCACTTATATAGCTACCTAGATACACAAACTTCTCAACTACTTCAATCTGCTCACCATCCAGGGTGAGTACAGGATGAGAATTTTGCCAGTCTTGTAGGAGTACTTTGCACTTGGAGGGTGCAAAGCACATGGCGTACCTGCGGACACTGATTGCCAACTGATTAAGTGCTGATTGCATGCCTTGGGCATTATCGCACAGTAAGACAATATCATCCGCATACTCAAGGTCGAGAAGTCGTTCTCCAGGCAGCATATCCACACCGCCATTACTTACATCCATCAGAGCTGTTTCTAGGATGTCGTCGATGGCAAAGTTGAAGAGGAATGGGGAGATCGGGCAACCCTGCCTAACCCCACTGCTCGAATGGAACAAGGGAGAAAGGTGGTTGTATGCCCTCACTCTGCCTGAGGTGTTCGTATACAGGGCCTTTAAGATGTTAATGAACTTCTCAGGCACACCCTTCTTCAATAGACAATCCCAGAGAACAGTCCTGTCCAACGAATCGAAGGCCGCCCTGATATCAAGAAACACTACGATTGTTGGCCTGCGATAAGTATGACGGTGTTCTAACATTTGGCGGAGGGTGAAGATGTGATCAATGCATCCTCGACCAGAACGAAAACCAGCCTGCTCCTCGCGAGTCAATCGTTCTCGGGTTTTAAACAACCTACGAAGAATGATAGAAGCCAATAGTTTGGACGCGATCGAAAGTAGACTTATCCCCCGATAGTTGCTACAGGAACAACGTGAACCCTTTTTAAAGATAGGGACGACTATTGACTCATTCCAAGATGTTGGAACACTTTCTTGCTCCCAAACCTTTTCAAACAACGCAGTCAGTTCCTTAGCCAGAAAGTCACCACCATCTTTAAAAAGAGCCGGAGGTAAGTCATCTGGGCCAGGTGATTTATAACGTTTCAAGAGTTGGAGTTCCTTGCGGACTTGCGCCTCGTTTGGTGGATCAGTCGTCACCGGCCATGGGGAGCAGGACAAGCTGGTTGATGTTGCCGGAGCAGCAGGCCAGTTGAACTGCCCTTCGAAAAATTCCGCCCATCGTCCAAGACGTCGGGAGATGTTAGTGATTGGCATCCCGTCATCCCCGTAGATTGTTTCACTCACACCAGACTTCTTGCTGCCAGTGGCTCGGATGAGTTGGAAGAGCTTCCGGCAGTTACCAGATGCAGCTGCTGCTTCCATCTCATTAGCACGCTCCGACCACCAGGCTTCCCGGTCCTTACACAAGCTTTGCCCGATTTCATTACGTAACAGCCTTCGTTTGTGGTCAAACTCACGGTCACCCGGAGTAGACCGACGGGCTTCCATCAGTTGTAAGGAGCCAGAAGAAACCCAGTGCTTGTAAGCGGGACGTTTCGCGAAGCCGCAAGCGGCTTTACTCGCCATTTTCATGGCGTCGTGAAGATGCAACCAATGCTCGTCTATACTTTTCGGTGGGGTGGTAGCTAGCCTAGAGGCTAGCTCAGCTCGATACTTACTTGCAACAGAAGTTGCAGCCAGTTTACTAATATCAATCCGTTGGTGGTGGTCAATCCTTCGGCCACTGAAAAGTAAGGTGAGATTGGCGCAGACCAGGGCATGATCAGACTCCAGATAGGTACTCCAAAAGGAGCGGCAGTCTTGTACACAACCACGCCAGCGGTAGCTGATCGCGATGTGATCAATCTGAGTCCAGGCTTGGGATGCAGAGGGAGGACGCCAGGTGGCACACCGGCGATGACTGTGCCGGAAGTTAGTGCTAGCCAGAAACAGGTTGTGGTCTGTGCACAGTTGCAGCAAACGGTCCCCGTTATCTGTCTTGCGACCAACAAGTCCCCATCGGCCACCTAGACGACTCTCTTCTGTGCCTAGACGCCCGACCTGTGCATTCAAGTCTCCGGCTAGAACTACAATATCTGTCGAACGCGCTTTCTGGAGAAGAACTGTTAACTGATGGTAAAACTCATCCTTGATTGCATCCGGGCTGCAATCTGTCGGGGCATAGGCGGAGATGACGAAAAGACACCGTTTCTCACGCCGATTTCTTCTCACTTTGATGGAACTTTCTAATCTAACAGCATATAACCGACTGTTAATGGGGATCCAATCGATTAGTGCTGCCTCAGCTCTAGCGCTTAGTGCGACACCAACGCCAGCAAGACCAGACGAAGATTCCACAGGGTCCCCGGATAAGCGCACGTGGAACAAGCTTTTCGAGGCGACAGATGGAGAGCGGATTTGTAGTACTTCACTAGAGTCTTGAATACGGGTCTCGGATAGACAACAAACGTCAACATTAAGACCTTCCAAAGACATAGCCAGCCCTATCTGTTGTCTGATCTGCATTAGTGTGCGAACGTTGAAGGAAGCCAGCTTGAACGGCGTACGTGGTTTCAGAAAGACTGCCTCAGTATTCATAATCGGTGGAAGCATTCACTTTCAACCAGACAGTGACTGGAGATCGTTTAGATAGGACAGATTTTCCACCAAGAGCGAGCTGCTGCATAAGTTGAAGAGTAAGGTTACACAAATTGGGGATAAAAGGGGGTGAATTAGCGATATGGTAAGTAATAATAATAATAATAATAATAATAATAATAATAATAATAATAAAGGTAATAATAATAATAATGTTAATTGTCTTGCTTTTAGTATGAGCAGGGATATCGTCAATAGAGTTCATAATTTCATTCATCATTACTAATCTTCCTAATATATAATTCATTTACTTCGCCTTCATCCCACCTTATTAGGTCTTATTAATAAATTTTTCCCACAACATAGTCTTCCACTAAACATTTGATCGAATTATAATTGCACTATCATATCTCTCTCACTCTATCTGACCCATATTTATTCGGATCATGGATCTTGAAAATTTTCACTTAACATATAATCTAATTCAACTGAACATTCTATACAAGTCAATATCAACATTAACAATTTTATTCTATTTTGTTTAACAATCTTAAATTCGCATGCTATAATTTTGAATGATGCGCTTTGCCCTTAACCTGGTCATTATTTCAGATTATTAATTTTGAAATATAATTGTAGAACCTGATGAGAATTTACCGAAAAGAATATTCTTCGTTCAATCTAATTAGTCTTTTAATATAATGAAAATCTTTAAACAAGTATAATTAAGGATTTGAAAAAGATGTTTTAGAAGGTAAGGCAAATCCATAATGAAGGGGAAAGGGACACGACTAAAACTGAGAGTAAAATGACTATCATGTGGGCCAAAGTAAACAGAAAGAGTTTATGTATGTTTTGTCTTTACATAAGTTGTGTTACTTTTAATCGACACCAATTACTTCAGTTTTCCATATAGTAGGTGTGATCTTGTGCCTTTTAGGTAGATTATTAAGAACTTGATATACAACTGAGAAGGTATTTTCAATCGTAATGTTATGTCCAATTAAATAGAAAAGAATGACACTGTAACGCCTTTTACTAACCATGCCACTATGTGTTTATGAGAGCGTAACAATAAGGATGTTTGAGTACGGTCAATGTGATTAGCTTCACAGAAACAGTCAAACTATTAATTACATACAGATGAGCTCATTGCTGGTATCTTACCCTTGATTTGCCATGTCAGTATTGACTCTGTCGAGAAAGTTATGTTCAACTTCGAGGGATTAAAGGTCGTTTTAACAGATCTGCTTACTTGATTTGTTAAAATACCACTACATCACTCTTGAAATAGTCTTGAAAACAGTTTCCTTCAAAATTGTGGAAATCTATATCTTGTTTCAAGTTATGTATTTCTTTGTCAAACTACAACAGTATTCATTTTGTAGTAGCATCACCCATGGTTTGCTTAGCTTTCCTTCTCTACTATCCTTAAAACATGGATGTCAGATTCTATGATTCAGACACTTAAACAGATTGATTTTATGTTGGAGTGATGAGAAGCCATGGAAATATTGCCCCGCCTAATATTCTCTTCTAAGTACATTTTTTTGCCGAACAATCTGTTATATCTTGTGACCGAGTGGATGCCTAGTTAATGTGTGACTTGATGAGACCGCCAATCAGGGAGCAGCGAATTATCGATTGAAACAGTGACACGAAACCCGTACGAGCAGACTAGAGTGCTAACCGGTTCTACGATCTGCCTAGCCCAGCCAGTTAAGTCTAAAACACCAATAACAGCCTCAGCGGTATGAATCATTGTATTTCAAACATACTGGGTTTATATACCGAACAAACAGACTATATCGACCCATAAAATAGGTAATAACATTTGTACAATATTTAGCCGAATGTGGCTGTGAATAGTAATCAATAAACTGATGATATATCAAGGATCGTATAATAATAGTTCAAAGGTCAAAATAAAGTTAGTGATAAGAGGAAACGAATATGATTAGGTTAATTACAATAGGAAATATACATATTATATTGACCAATAAATAGTCCTCAAAAGTTACCATTCGTAATTCTTTTCGGGATACAACACAATCCGACCTTTTAGAGAGGACATTCAGAAACTCAGTCTTATTATCATATCCTTTTTCGTGTGCACAACTGATCGATGGATAAGCATTATTAAATGTTCTTAAGAGTTCTTGTAAGTTGACCTATTATCTACGAACTTTTCTCAAAATAACGAATTACATTATTTTGTTACACTAGAAATTTGTACTAGGACTCAATCGACGTGAAATTTACCATTTTTAATTTATAACATGAATTATTTCAACTTTAATATTCTATCTACCATAATAGGAAAATAATAACTTTGGATTTTGTAATTGTAGAGCCTGATGAAGAAGTTACCAAAAACGACCGTTCATTCTGATACTCCTGCTTCTTAAATATTGTATGGGAATTTTAGATTAAATAAACGGGAACTACTAACCAAATTATGTTAGATCATCTCTTTCAAAGCTGTACTTTGGCAGTGATAGAACATTTTTCAGAGTACTTCTAGGAGTAGTTTATGTATTAATTAATTGCGATACAAATTTCTTGCAATACCTATATTGAGACCGAAGATTTTTCCTCTGGAAAGCTTTCACTTTTAAGACTTTTAATTACTTATTTACAATTGGTAGCGTTTGTACGTGCAAAATGAAAATGAAGTATTCCAAAATGTGCTTCCGACAACTTACGAACGGAAACTAAGCAATACAAACAAATACTTACATATACACATGTACAGCCAGGAATTGGTGCAGGTGCACTTAGAAGCCGGAGAATCCAAAGTTGGAACTGGCGTGTGCTTTCCACAACAGGAATGGAGCATGATAGTGTAGTATTACTTGTTAATACATCCCATATATCTGGACTAGAAAAGAAAATTGATGATCTTTTTTTAACAGAACAGTTATAACAAATTCTGGTCGTTCATGAAACAAATGTTAAAAGCTTGATCAAATAAACCAAAAGTGGGAAAGTCAATATCTTAACTAAAATGTGTAACTAGCATCGGCAAAAGTAAATGAGAATATGACTCAGTAAACCACTGTGGTTTTAAGGATTAGGGTGCTTTGACAACTACATGATTGCTCAAACCCTTATAGGTGATAAGTGGTTGAAACTTAACCGAATGGCTAAAGTCATTATGGCTAACCTATGAGTGACATCCTGGTTGAACTTAAATTGACAACTTTTCTAACCTACTTCAGTCCAAAAAACGATTGGAGAACTAGCGATATCTTAATTAGAAATAACTATGACCTCAAATCATAGCCTTAGGGTATCTTCGAAATCAATATTTTTTTCTAACCTTCTTACATAAAATCATCAATTAAACAACAAGTCATTGAAACATGTGCATACACGAACATATAAACGTCGTATTTTGCAAACAAGCACATCAGTAAAAGTCACGACACCTAGCACCAGTACTGAGTACAAATCTAAAATACTTAAGGGTCTGGGGTCAAAGAAAAATCAAATAATGAGCAATAAATATTCTGTGCATAATAGCAGTTCTATTCTTGGTTATTTGACTTGATCATTAACATAGAAAACTAGTTCTCGACGTAAACTCTCGATAATAATAGATCACACAACAATTACTGATGGCATGGAGAAAATGAAACAGACGTAACTAAATCTCTGTCCATGTAGCAATTGACTGATAACAATGCAAATGTTACACAAAATAGTAGTTTCACTAACAGACATCAATCAATGCACGTTTTATTTATGAAGTATAATGTAAATAGTTCGATGAATCAAGTTTTTGGTCCTATTACATAAAAGTGGCCCCAGAAGAGCTATGACCTGAAGCCAAATTAAAAAGTCAAATGCTTATATTGTGAGTTACCACAACAAAACATTTTTATTCAGGTCACTTATCCCATTAATTTACCGATTTCTTTTTTGCCACGTTATATAAAGCTTAAGAATCTCAATGAGTGTCCCTCAAAAATCAAAGTTTGGTTCAGCTATTTACTTTATACCTTAATTCGATTTGGTTTATAAACATATCCAGGTGGTGCAGGGTGTGAAAAACATTTGATCTTTCATGGGAACTTCTTTAAAGAAAAACTAATGGTGACGGTTAAAATTTGGATAAATAGATATTAGATATAATTGTTCGTGAAACGGAATTGGTAAAAAAAGAACTTGAGAGGGAGAATGAGAGTTGATTTTGGCATGTTTTACGGACGATGCTGAGACACAAAGGTCGCAGAAAATGAGTTATGAAAAAAACTTGAAAAATACCCTAATCTTTAAGTAGTGAAAGAGGAACGCTACTAGTTAATTTATTTATATAACTTGTTTACCAGACACAAAATTGTGCGCTTGTTTTCCAGACAGTGAGAGTAAGGGCTGTTGATACTAACTGGTTGTCTAGAATGAATTCAAATAGAGTTAGAACATCCAACTTAGTGGCTGAATTAAACACCCTAATCAATAAACCACTCCTCCACAAGCAATGTACACCTACGACCCCTTCAAGGATCGAAACTATTACTTTCAGGTAACAAAATAGATGCTCAACCGTCAGAACAACTAGATTGAAATAAATGTTTACAGTAAATCTCTCCGCTAAAACATTCACAATATTACTCATAACAGTTCATTTGATTCTACGGTTAACTGAATAAAACGATCAGAAAGAATATATGCCCAGAAAGAGACGAGTAAAAACTTCTATCATACAGTGAATTCTTCTTCCACATCAGCATATCATAAGAAGTTCTTGGTTACGAAGTGGTAGTGAAATGCAGGTAGAGATTCTGGTTAGGTTGACAGGTCAAACGGATTTTTGATATAAAACGGTGAAATTTGCTTTTATTATATCGTACAATCAGGTGCTATAATGTAATTAACGTGACATTACTCAAGAACTGAGGTAGGGATACAAAAAACGCTTGGGGGTAAATTGTAGGCCTTGAACTTTACTATAAACAGAAGGACCTTAACACAGGTTTAAAACTCTCATTTAGCCCTAGGCAGTAGGTGGACATTCTCAGGGCCACCTCAGCGTTGCTCAAAGGTCGTCCATAAATTACCGTCTCACTAGACAATTTAGCAGAAATATCGTAACATAAAATCGCAAACACTGCGGCCTCACCTTTCCACACAGCTGGGTTTTGACAACTTGTGTAGCTTCTTGAGAACTGCATATACACATTGCACAAGCCGTGCAAACGTTGTAGCAAAAGGATAATGAGTGATTAAACAGATTGATGTTAAGTTATAGACACTATTTGCATTCTTTAGTTTCCCAGATGATAAGGATTTTTCTTGGGTACTTTCATTTAAATTGTTAAGTTCATCCCAACATAGAACTGGTCCATTAACGGATACATCATCAAAGTGTGTGTCTTCCCTGACATTTGAATATGTAGTTCTACTCACACTTTTAACGTTCACTGGTCTAAAGAAGTTGGTGCAAATACCGTACCGTGTTTTACTGGAATCCTTATCAGTTAACGAAAATAAAAATGTCATTGATTTTATCCCATCACGGTTATTATCCAAAGATTTTATAGGGAATGTGTTGCTGGAAGCATTAATACATCCTTCTGGTTGACAAAAGAAAGACACATCTGTAGGAAGCGGGAAATCCTTGTGGTTCGTAGGAGGAAATCGACAAAGAATCTCAGGGGACTGCACTGAGTTTGCGTTCCCAGGGGATCGCGAACCAACCAGTACAAAATAGTCTATCAAACGCGGACATATATTTGACATTGAAGTACAAAAGACATCCGAAGATTGCCCTACTCAAACTGCAACACCCACAAAGCCCGCATATTTCTAATGACCATGAGACAAATGTGTTGCAAAAGTAAAACAAGAAAACGATAAACCAAGAACCATCAGCTTTTTATTATAGCCTTCGGTCTTCGCTGTTTATTTATAAAAATGTTAAGTTATATAACTTGTCATTATTGTTTTAGCTTGTTTCGCAGTAAAGATCCAGATTCCTTTTTTAAAGTGGTAGGTCTTTAACGCAAATTATTCTTCTCGAATGTTTGGGGGCCTACTTCAGTTAGACGGAGGTGATGTGACCCAAATCAAGTTTTGCAGTCACACCTTGCAGTTAGCACGTAGTGTATATTACCCTTTCGACTTATCAAGGCAAATATATTAGTAAGAATGAGTACAAATTAGATAGTCAAGCCATCACCCTATGGGCCAGTCAAAGACATAGGATGAGCTGATGCGCGTCGGTTGTCCTTGGACCTGAAGGAGATCGACGAACTGTTCGATATTCAGTGACCAAACTGTCAGATGATTTGGCTAAGACTCTGTCAAATTTCACTAGCCGTACAAAGCTGTCCCCAAATGAGCTGGTAGTTGTCCAGTTTCAGTTTGGAAAGGACGTGAGGCCAGGTGGCCTGTCTTAGTCCTGGCAATGAATGTCTCGCAGTTGATACAACTTTTCTTTAGAAGCGTCGACAGATGGAAATTCAATCATTTGTTGAGATAATCAATTCCATTCGTTGATAATTCGATGAGAAAGTTGATAGTCAGCTGACAAGCAATTTTTCCTGGCCTTGTAAACTTTTGTGGAGTATCTTCGTAAATTCCCTGTTTTTGAAGGCAAGAAAAGTGAGGCCATGTCAGACGCGAATTTACCACTAAGTAGTTTGAATCTGTGATGAAGTCGTTATTACAATGGGTATATGTTTAGTTTAGATAGTCAAGTATCATACGGGAGCTTTGTTACTTCGAGAATCAGCTTGATTGCAGTTCCTTGAAGCTTTTAAGAAAGCTCACTGCCTCCTTCTAGACAGGGGTTAGTCGCTTGTATGCAGTGTTAGAGTTTAGGACGCACTATTACTGTCCAAAGGTTATAGCATCGACATGTCTAAAGGCCCTACGCATTTTCCATGTGGTTTTCAAACCTGTGGCGGCTGTCAAACGGCAGTGTGCAGTAGTTTTTAAGTCTTGGCTAATGATGACTCTTAGGTCAACCTATCTAGACAACAGGTACCTCACTGTTATTCACCTTGGTGCTCAATCTGAATTATAATGCACTAGGAAGCAATAATCGGCAACCGCTAAATTTGTGGCCATTCAAATTAATTCTGCAGGTCACTTCAAAGCTCTATACTATCACCTTTGCATTTTATCGCTCTCTATCGTCGGCATATGGCAAGACTAATGATAGGAGATTAGGAAAGTTATACAAGAGGAACAACATTGGCTCCTAAACTGTACCCCGAGGCACTCCGCTAAGCATAGTTTACTAGATGAACAATTTGGAGCCCACTCGTACTCTTTGTTGGCGCCCTACTATGAAGTCTTTTACCCACATTAGTAAATTACCTCCTACGTCGATATTACTTAACATATTTAACAGCCGGTTGTGAGGACCTATGTCGAAAACCTTGCTGAAGTCAATGTAGGCTACACCTATAGGTACCTTTAACGAGCTACTGAGTGAGACATAAATAACCTGTTCTAGAGCCATGTCGATCTTCAGAAAGAACCGGGTTTCCATCGAGATACTTAAACAACTTCGGAATAAACATTTCCAAAAATTTAACAACCACGCTAGTTAGGCTAACAAGTGAGCAGTTCTGAAGTATATGTTTCGTACCTGTTTGGGCGACATGACGTACAATGAAGTACTTTTACACTTTTGGTAAGCAACTCTGGGGCATAAACAGACTAAAACATATAATTGAGGGGTCTGCGACGACATTTCCCAGTTCCTTCGTTAACCTAAGATGTATTTCATCCGGTCCCATGGATTTGTCTATATCAAGTTCGTTTGACAAACAAAAGACATTGAGTTTTTCAGTCAGTGTCTAGTGTGTGTGGGGGTGTACGAACTGAAGGGGATGGTACTAATGCGGTATATAGATTGTTAAAGTAATTTGGGAATGCCTAGACTCTAACATAATCGTTTTCCACTAATGATGCTGTACTACTTTCCCCAAAAATGCTGGGATATTTCTTCTTCTCTTAGTCCATTGGTTTACGTACGAATACAATCATTTAGGGTATTCAATAGATTCTTTAACAAGTTTTTCTAGACACGCGGAGGGGCAAGACACAAATATTTCGAGCTTCTGGTTATCGAGATTTGCATCGTCAGTATTCAGCATCTAAATCTCTCCCACACTCCTCTCCTCTTATGGAGAAGGATGAGGACCTCTTTACTGAAGCATGGTGGGGTTTCTCAGACCCCTTAGTACTGTCCAAGGGATATGAGGTGCAGTAACTCTTATGTAGAAATTTCTAAATGCATTCCAGACCGTTTCAATCTAGGATTCTATTTCTATTGTCAGATCTACTGAGGATGCTGAGTTTATAATATCTTGTATATTTGCTTACCATACTTTTGGTCTGGCTTGGGTAGACACATTCCCGTCGTTGACAACTATCTGGAAATCAAAGACTAGAACTGAATGGTTACTTTTACATAGAAGTGACAGATAATGGGGGTTTGTGACGTCATCCCCACCATGGGTAAATAGGAGGTCCAGTAAGGATGATTCGGAGTCCGGGTCATACCTAGTTGCTTCTTTCACATGTTGCACTAGAGCGCATATGATATCTGATTTTTCCAGTCTACAGTAGGTGCATTAAAGTCTTCAAGAATTAGACATCGACCACTTTGTGATCAAGTCGTGAGACGGTTTAGTAAGACCTCATTTACCCCACAGTTTGAATTGCACTAGACCAAACTAATCAGCTCCTCTTCTCTATTGCATTTTAGGCGGTAACTAACTGATTCGCACATCTCACTATCATGAGGTACACTTTGGATAATGGTAAATGGGTTAGTATTCTGAGTGGCAAGAGCCACCTCCTCTCCTTTACACTCTTGAATTCTGTCAGCTCTTACTATCGTGCAACCTTCATTGTCAAGTTCCCTACTGTCTACTTTTGAGTCAGGCAAGTTTCCGTAGCTGAGATCACATCCGTCTTGGTAGTCTATCTGCACGCACAACTCCGATCGCACACTGAGTAAGCGCCAGACATTCGTGTGACGGATCCGAAGCCTATTTGAATGGTTTCGTGCTGCACCCAGAGTGGATTTGGCATCACGTTTTCTTAAAGCCTCACCACCCGAAAATTGACAATATTTAGGTCATTTAACCGAAGTTACGGTACTTCGTCAGCTTCTTGGTATTTTATACGGTTCGTGAACGGCAAATCTTCTTAGACAAAAGCTCCTGACCATTTTACTTTATGTCCATTCTACAGTATTAAGTCCTTTTCGATGGAACATTATCTGATTTGGTAGTTGCGTTTTCAACTGAATGCCATGATCAAAATGACTTTTATGTCCTGAGATTTCGCCCTCCTTGCCTCTACGAAAGACAGTTGACCTGCAACTATGGTCAGTCTTTAATTTCTCTGCTACATTTTGGGGGAATAGCGTTTTTTGGCAATATTAGACGAGAGAAACTGATGACCAGAAACAGTGAAAAATTAAATTGTTATTACCGAAGTGCAAACAGATACGAAGAACTATGTGCTCAGAAGTATTAATAATGAATTACCTTCGAAGAAAGCGAAACTCCTGTCCTTTACTTTAACTGAAATAAAGTCGATTAAGATGAGAGCAGCAGTTTTGATGAGTGATTTACGATGAAAATAATAAAATTAACTCAGCGTGGCAAAGTATAACTCTCCTCTTCACTTAGTGCAGGTAGAGTCAATGACCATTCGAAGAGGATAGGGGAATCTTACTCCAATGTTATTTGGTTGCGCCTTGTAAACCTTCTTGCTGAATCCTCATTAGTGATTAGTCCTGGAGGGAGCTAAAACTTAAGACATGTTAGCAGCTGGAGCAGTGAAATAACCTCGTACGAAAGGGTATTCACATTTTAAATATTCGGGGCAAAACGATTACCAAACCACTCTGGTCGGTTCTGGAATATATTTCACAGAATTAAAGGTAAGCATTTTGGAACGTTGCTATCAATCTTGGTACAGCAAATATGAAGTGTAGGGGCGCAACCCAGAGAGCTCAATGAAAATATATAAGGCAGTTGATGCAAGCTCTAATCATGCAGCCGAAAAAACTGTTCTTCCACGCCACTTACAGAACATGGGCGCACTACCCAATTCTGTTGTATCCGTCTCGATTTTTCCTTTATCTGAAGTGAAGTTACTGACCAGCAAGTATTGATGGTGAGGGCGATGACTTCAATCCACCCGTGTTTGTTGGGCAGAACATTTTGTTTGTATCAGGCTCTTTATGGATGAGAACAAGTCAATTAGTCTGTGATATTGAGGTTGTTCTACTACACTCCCCATTCAGACTCATGTTCCTAATTTTTATGCTGGATTAGCTATTATGCCTATAACATGCTAACCCGAACTTTTACATGAAAACTGTGTGGCAGGCATCGGATGATAAAAAAAAAGGACTATAAAGGATATGATTGTTATTTTACTTAACACTCTACTCTCTATATGCACTCTCTATTCTAATGAACAGTCTTCCTCACTCCAACCTTGACTTCCTTTCCTTCATTTGAACTCACTCCATCTTGGTAAATATCACATCTCATTGTTCTTTATTACTGCATTCTCTCATCTGAAGCCTCTGATCACACTTCACTCTAGCAACAAGAGCTAGTATGAAGTTAACCTAAAAATTTATCATGACCCTGTTCCACTACTAAATGTTAGGCATTGGTTATCGTTCACATGCAAATACCTTTCTGCTCCTCGTGTTCTTTTTTCTCTTCTTTTTCTCTTCAGAATCTTGCTCTGAGGGT